TAGAGCAGTGGAATATAACGACTGAATTATTAGGGTTACATTTGTGACTGAATAATTGGCTACAAGGGAGATAATTTGAGAACTATTTATGCAATTACCTCCACATTTGTGACTGAATAATTGGCTACAGGGGAGATAATTTGTGAACTATTTATGTAATAACCTCCACATTTGTGACTGAATAATTGGCTTCAAGGGAGATAATTTGTGAACTATTTATGTAATAACCTCCACATTTGTGACTGAATAATTGGCTACAAGGGAGATAATTTGTGAACTTTTTATGTAATAACCTCCACATTTGTGACTGAATAATTGGCTACAATGGAAATAGTTTGTGAACTATTTATGCAATTACCTCCACATTTGTGACTGAATAATTGGCTACAGGTGAGATAATTTGTGAACTATTTATGCAATTACCTCCACATTTGTGACTGAATAATTGGCTACAGGGGAGATAATTTGTGAACTATTTATGTGATAACCTCCACGTTTGTGACTGAATAATTGGCTACAAGGGAGAAAATTTGTGAACTATTTATGTAATAACCTCCACATTTGTGACTGAATAATTGGCTACAAGGGAGAAAATTTGTGAACTATTTATGTAATAACCTCCACATTTGTGACTGAATAATTGGCTACAAGGGAAATAGTTTGTGAATGTAATTACCTCCACATTTGTGCCTACATCAAAGGCAATGAATTCTACAGCTATCTGTGGTTCATCCTACAAACAGAAGAGAAATATAACATAATGCAATATATCAAAACAATGCTACCCACCAAAAATGTAGTCAATAAGGATTTTAATTTTTCATGGCAATCACCATGGACAATTGGAGTCTTGCATTTGATATCTACAGGAACTTTCCTGTAACTAAAAATAGCTGACATACGTCTCCTGAAGTGAGGTTAAAATGTATTGGAAATATAATTAAGCAGAAACAAGATGGTTTTGTTATTCTTGGAATAGTTGGAAATCCCCTGATTGATATAGGCATTCTTAATTTACTGAACAAATGAACACAGCACAGTGAACAATTGAAAACAGAGAAAGTTAGTATAAATATGATAACTTCAGTTTTTTCTAATATACACTCACAAACATCTTAAGAGTATATATTTGATAAAATTCATGTTGAGAGTGTACATAACCCTTTCTTTTATTACAAATGCTTCTAGAAAAACATCTAACATACAAACCTCTGAATCAATCACTCTGATCAGACTAACATACTTACCTCTGAATCAATAACTCTGATCAGACTAATCATCTAACATACTAACCTCTCGATCAATCACTCTGATCAGACTAATCATCTAACATACTAACCTCTCGATCAATCACTCTGATCAGACTAACAGCTCCCGTTTGTGCATTTACTTGGAAAACATCACGAACATCAACTTTACTGTTATACAACACCTGACCAGTGGCTCCTGTAGTCTGTAATGTGTAGTTCAGAGGACCTTCGAACAAAAATATTCTTATATTTTCTTATCTAAAAACACACTAAGTTCGTAAACTTTATTTCATAAAATCTGTTACATAAAAAATTATGATGTATGTCGCAGACAAAAACTTCAAAAACAAAAAAATATAAGACGTTTGGTCAGAATAATGAAAACCAAAACATCCTTCCTCAGAAAAAAAAAACAAAACCATATACAGTCATCTTAGCCTGAGAAAGTTGCAACTTTAGTTTTAGTGTATTTACATAATTTATCAACTTCTGAATCATATTTCATTATCTACACTACTAAAGCACTGGCTCCTGGCTGGAAGATGCTCTCACCCACTAATAGTCTCAAGAAAAATAGTACATTTCATTGGTTTTAAAGCAAAAAAATTACAAAGGGCATTAAATTGGAATTTGAATGGTCTTGTGAAAGAACAAATAAAAAATAGTATAACGCTGTTTAATAGTCATAATTCTATTAAGCCAAAGCAAATCCGGGTAAGAAACTAAAACCGAGGGAAACACATCAACTATAAGAGGAAAACAACGGAACAACAGAAACACTGAACCACAACAAAAGCAAACGCCAACATACATAGAAACGGACTGTCTGATAACAACTGCCATATTCCTGACTTGGTACAGGACATTTTAAGAAAAAATGGTGGGTTGAACCTGGTTTTATGGCTAGCCAAACCTCCCGCTTATATGGCAATATTAAAAATACCACTAAAATGACAACACTATGTGACCGGAATACAGTACAAACAAACATAAGAACACTCAGCACAGAGAAATACATAAATAAATAAAATAATAGTTATTAGTACATTACAAGATGTAAACCGCAGAATAACAACAGACACCTTCCATGAATTTACGACAGCACACCAGGACACCAAAAACGAAATATAAACTCTGCATCACATGAATGGATCAACGTCACAAAAATTGACATATTTTTTGTGATGTTTATATTATCACAGGTTAATTTAAAAAAAAAAAAAATAGATTTGTTTTATTTATAGACACGTACAAGAATATTAAATTGGGATTTGGTTTGTAATGGTATTATTTTATGTATTTTCTAACCATGACAAGAATATTAAAATGGAATTGTGTTTGTAATGGTGTTATTATTTGTATTTTCTAACCATGTTGGTTTTTCTTTGAAGCCTTTCACATATATATTGTAAATTGAAAGTGCATTATTAAACTAAGACTCACCTTCAGGAGTATTTTCAAACAAATTATAATCTTGCATGAACTTTGTGAACTGAAACTCTCCATACACTGTCAATATAAATATATAATATATCAACTTAGTTATTAAAATACTGAACATTATTTGAACCTATTAGAATTGGATGTATGATGTTGTTTATGGATGCTTAATAAAAAAGTAATTGTGTTTCTGCTAACCCTACCTACCTTAATTTTTAGTGCTGACCCGTAAGATTTTTTTATTATTTTTCGACGAGCACTATCAAAGTCAGAATATTTCCCCTATTAAATGCAGTCAAAAACTTAAAATAAAATCATTTGCCTACCTACCTACCATACTTTTTATAGAATGTTAGCAAAAACAAAGGTATTATTCTTCGGTCGTGTCCTTATTCTGAAATTTTTTTTTGTATATCTTTTAACCTCAAGGTACCTCAACGAATGGAAGTTTTTAACTACCTTGACTGGCTATACAGCCCTTGCACGGTCGGTCAAGGTACCTTCAGGGTCTTCCTCCATCTTAGATTGTAAAATAGTAGAAAACAATTGGTCTACTTCTTTAATGAAATGTGCAAATTTCCAGAGTAGAATGAAATTCATGTGTATGACTTTTCATGTAAAAACAGAAAAAGATGTCTTTTATCATATTTTAAGGCTGTATTTGAAAAAAAACAGAATATTTTTTGTTTGGTTCAATATTTTTTGAACTTTGCCATATAAGGGGAGATCACTCAGATAAAGTAAGTACTTTTATAAAAGAATGTTATGAATTTATTTATTTCATTATGTAGCAAGAAAACGAGTCCTGTGACCCCAATTTTCTTTTTCTTATCTGGAAGCATATAATAAGAGCTATCTTCTCATATTTTATCTAAAAATTCTATTGTTAAGTTTTTTTTTTATCACACAAAATTGGGTTTTCCATGCATAATCTATACAAAATTTGACAATTTTGCACAACCTGTAGTGTGAAAAAACCCAACTCTGTGACCAATACTTTTTATCATATCTATAAAAAAATAAGCAAGATATAAACTACATTTTGGCAAATTATTAAAAAATTCTAGCGATTTTAATTTATAATGAAAATGAAGTAAAAAGTTTATTCACAAACTATTATGGTCACTGACTGCATGAATAATCAGAATATGAACCAAAAAGAATCATATTTTATACTTTTTTTATAATTAACAACTAACCTGAGTGAAGAATTGTCAGAAGAAAAGCGACAGTAACTATGGCTTGTTGTATCGGGTGTTCCATAGTGTACCTGCAGAGGAAAGAAAATACTGTTGCTAACTCTTGGTCACAAAATTTATGCAAAAATGTAACAAAGACTCAAATGGCGTGGTTGTGAAGAATTTTTCTACTTGACCTGCATAATGGTTTTATCTGTATACGAACATGTGGTGTGTGCATGCGAATGAAACCATTACATGTACCTGTATGTTAATATAGTTTATTTGTCAGGTTTTCTCTGTATAGTCCTATAAGAAATAAAATATTGCTCAACCTGTAATTGGTAGACATGCAAGTTGTATCATATATATGTAACATGAATACTTTCATATGTGAGCTTGGTAATGACAGAGTATTTTTCTAATCTATTTTTGTGTTCTCTCTAGGTTTATTTTCATTTTCTTTTTAGAATAACTTCAATTTTTATCTCAACTGACATAATGTTTTCCTTACCAGTCATGTCCATTCAAATACAAGTGATTGCAATATGGGAGGGAGAAATATCATATTTATACTCTGAAATAAAAATGTTCGTTCAAACTCTGCATCTTTTCAAAATAAGGAAATTTACAATATGTAGAAGAATGTTTGTTGCACATGTACGATCTTACCCTGTGCTTGTTTGTATACTGAACGCCCTACTCCACACAGTTCATATTGTTTTCAGGTGAATAGTTGTGTTATAATTGAATGAAAGATGACTATAAATAGAGAGACCGGTTTGGAAAGGGAGGAGTTACCGGCTCTAAAGGCTGGACAAAATCAAGAAACCGTGAAATAGTTTCCATTTTTTTAATTACCAATTTTTATACAAAGCAATCATTGACAATCTGTGTAAAATACGACTTTATTGCACATCTATATCAATTTTTAAATAGATAATTTTTATCTTTAGAATAATCAATTAAATTGTTTTACCTTAAACAAATCGACAATCGTATCATGGATATAAAAATCTATATTTTCGTTTACTGAAATAAAAGTAGTAAAATTACGATTGCTGAAAAAAGCGCGGGAAAAATGGGTGGTTCCCAAGTTGTCCTATTTTTAAACTTTCAAAACCGGTTTTTGTTTTCTTTTGAATACACATGTATGCATAAATACAGGCATTGGGTGTAATGAAGGTGCTGATATCGTTTGACAATTAAAAGGTAAACAAATAACTGTAGGTTCATATAACAATTGCTTGAAAGCAACATTTATCATTCTATAAATCACGTTATGTTTACCGTAAAAATTCACACTTTGGATCAAATTAATTGAAATTGTGTTTAGAAGAAAAAAAATTATCTCCTTTCTGAATTTTTAGTTTAAGTTTGGACTTCACAGCAAAATGTTGTTCAAACGAGGTCCAACTTTTTATCATATTAAATGGAGTGGGCCTGCACTACAAATGAGACCAATACAAACAAGACTAGTGCCACTATAAACAAATTCAAACCAATAAAGATTCTTATAATTAAATTCTCATTTTATCCACACACAATAGTACAATGGAATCTACTACAAACATCAGCAATCCTTTGTACAACAGTTAAACAGCTTCAAACTTCAAAGAGCAGATTCTGTATCTGCTCTTTCACATATATTTTAAACACTGCATAACAAGAGGATACATAGTTTTACCGAGAAATATACAAAGGATAACAGTCCACCAAAAAAAATTAAATACATCACTGTTATATATTTCATTTTTTTATTCACCAATGTAACATAATATTACAAATTCATTTCTTTTTAATTGTACATAATAAGCCACCCATCATCCCATGTATAACGGCACGTACTAGTCAAAGTTGTGACTGAGTGCAGAAAAACAAAGATAGATAAATAGGACTAAAGTCCAAAGTGACTCAATATTTTTTATATGACAAGTAATTTGTTTACTATATCATAATGTTTATTTACAAATCTGTGTCCATTGGCCCTGATTCACCTTCGCCCTAGTACCTGTTGGCCCTAATACCTTTTCGCCTGGGTCAGTTCCCCCATTTACCTGTTCGCCCTGGGTTCGTTCGTCCTTAAATCCTTATTGTATAATTGTAGAATGTGTGTTATAGTGTGTTGCAAATGTTGAATATTTATGTTGTATTGCAAGACAATTATTTTCTTTGATTTGAACTGAAGGAATACAAAGTACATTTATTTAATAGTTAACAACTCAAGACCAAGTTATCTGTATGTTTTTATCTTTATTGATACATTTATATTTCTTGCTTCAATAATGATATGCTGCTTATAATAGGTGTGTAAAGTTATTATATTATATATAAACAATTGTTTATGAATTGATGAAGTGATTCAATAATTAACTTGCATTTTAACAAATTTTTAAAAACACGAGACCATAGGAGCCAAGCTGCAAAAATATATTCCCTTTCTTGTCTTACAATTTGTATATGCATTGTTTTTACCAGAGACAATACTTATAATGAAATTTTCAAATTTTATAACCAATCCGGTCAGTGTCATCAGCCAAAATGTTGAGAAAATGGGTGAGGGGTACAAAGAAATGATTGTACCAAAAATATGTACATCCCATATCAATTTTTTCTTTTCAAAATTTATAGGTATAATCTTGATACCATAAAAAAATTTAGGGCAATCAGACTCTATGGGCAAATGAACCCAGGGCGAACATGTAATTAGGGCGAACGGATCTGATTCCGTAAAATCCTAATTTACCGGAGTAACCAATGAAACCACCTCTTGAGTTTCTCTTGGATAAGGAAGACTTTCATAACCAGGTATTATCCCCCTTGTATTATCTCCATTTATGATTGAAATGTCATCTGGTTTATTAAAATGTTGTCCTTCCCAATATAAAATTTATTGGAGGCCATTAACTTTTATTCAGTACTCATGTGAACAATGGTTTTAAAATGGAAAATGTTGCCATTTACCTGAATGTGTGCACCTTTAAAATGAAATGCAAAATTCTATTTTTTATTACTGTAAATTGGTCCTTTCTTTGGGTTTAGTACTCATAAATTAGGATAATGACTGTTTATGAGGATCTTCCCCAACCTGTTGGAATTATTTCAAATGTTGTCATCATGGGACCTTTTATAGTCTACTCTACATTATTGGCTTTTGCTCATTGTTGAAGGCTGTAAGGTGACCTGTAAGTAAATGTTAATATCTTCATGGATTTGTAATGTCATCTCATTCTTGGTATTTTCAGACAATACATATTTTTTTGAAGTTCAGTTCTTTTTCTATATGTGTCATTATTGGGTCCAGTTTTTACAAAATTGACATTTTTTGACAGTTGTAAATGCTGACTGAGGATACTTTTTAAAATTTCTATGTTCTACTGTTTATTTTGATTAGTTTAGTTATATTTACTACAATGGAAACAAGTTTTGCAAACCTCTTAAAAAATGTCAAAGTGGTAAATCTTCACCCTTAACCAATTAATCCCATAACACTGTACTTTATTGGGCAGACTGTGATTTTAGTTGCCTGGTTGTTAACCTTCATCTTCAGAGAAATACCAACAGTTCAGATGTGCTTAGCACTATATTGAACTTATTAATAGCACATTTGCAAATGAAGGATAAGATATTTTTTGTGTTTTTAGGAAAGACTGAAGATGTATAGTCTAGTCGTTGTAATGGCTTTAACAGGTGAGTCAATGATTAAGTTAATAACATTAACAGTACTATTTTTTTATGCACGAGGTGCACATTTTGACAATAAATGTCTCTTCAGTGATGCTAGAGGCCAAAAAACTTGAAAACCCAAAACTTATTATAAAATGAAAAGCTTATAAACCAAAAAAGACAAAAAGTATAGCCAAAGCTATGGATAACTTTACAATTTGTACATACATCTGAGAAAATCAGATTAATCTTATTGAGATGGTAAAAGACATGAAGAAACAATATATATTTGTCACAAACACAAATAAATGTTATACAAATTACACAAAGAAATAGACACATTTATTCTAAAACCAGTTGTTGGCATGATATGGGTTATGTTCTCGTATATTTTATGATGATATGATACTGAACCCCTAACAAGAGGGATTGTGCTTGCATGTCAGTAACTGCTAGTAACTTCCTTTGTTAATTTATGTTGATCATTGTCAGTTTGCTTAGTTTCTTCTGTTACCTATTCTAACATCAGACTCAGACTTTTACTGTGTGTAGTGCTGTGTGTTTGTTTATTCTACATTAGCTAGAGGTATAGGAGTAGGGTTGAGATCTCACAAAACAATTTTAACCCGCCGCATTTTTGCGCCTGTCCTAAGTCAGGAACCTCTGGCCTTTGTTAGTCTTATATGTTTTTTTAATTTTGGTTCATTTATAAATATGTTTTGGAGTTTAGTGTGATGTCCATTTTCTCTGAACTAGTACACATTTTTGTTTAGGGGCCAGCTGAAGCCTGTCTCCTGGTGCATGATTTTCTCACTGTGTTGAAGACCCATTGACAAATTACCTGTTTCCATTCTCAATTTTACAATTATTTAATTTTTACAGGACATTCACACAAGTATAAACTAAAAATAAGTAGGTTTCACACCAAGGCTTATAACTTTGATATTTACATACTGTGGATTCATTTATTATCGTGGGTACCAATTTTTGTTGATTAAGGAAGATTTGCATTTTTGTGGATATTTGATTTTGTGGTTTTTCCAAAGTCTGCATAAACCTAATAGTATCCATGAAATCCACGAAAATTGGTATCCAATGAATAATAATGAACACACAGTAGTTGACTCTTGAGTTTCTCCAAATATATATGATGAGGTACCTATCAAATTTTATTATGCTCATCTTGTTTACAAATACAAATCGGGGATTTAATCTTCATAAATAAAAACTGACAATGCCATGGAAAAAAACGAAAAACTGAGAGATAAGATTGAAATTATTAATTTGTAAGTGATGTTTCTGTGTTATCATTGTTTATTTTCATAGGATACATGATATAAAGTACATTTTCATTATAAACTGAAGATATTTGATATGATTGCAAATGATACAGCTGACTACAAAAGGTCAAAGATTTCAACAACTACTGGTCACCAAACCTACTAGGACTGATCATTTTATTTATATAAACCTGTAATGAATTACTAATTTTACATAATTTTATAAGGCCATGGTCGACAAAAAATCCTAGATTTTCATTTTTGGCTGACAATACTTTATAAAGAACAAAAATTATTTTTATCAGTTTAATTTCTGGCTATTTTCTTTTATTTTGCCAAAAGTTTTCATAAGTTATCAACAGTCAAATTCATACAAGCAGTTTAAAGTATAAAATTCACCCGTTCACTCCAATTTAAAAAAAAAGTCTGAAGAGGATCTAGGATTTTTTATTATTATACCATGTATACCATGAGCATAAATATTTTTCAATATATTTGTAGGAACTATTTCCTTTGTTGTTGGACAAAATGGTAAGTCAGTAAAATTAGAAATAGTATTAGGATTATTTTTGGTTGCCTTTAACCTTCAAATGTTTTCTATAATTTTTTTATGCAGTTTTATATAAATGTCTCATTATACATTATACACCTACCAGACAAAAATCCTTAATTTTTGTAAAAATTGATTACCAGAATATAGCAGAATATCATACTGGGCTCTTGGTCATAAAACTTTACTCAGTACTCGGAGTACAAAATTTGTGCTCGAAACACCAAATCCATGATTTTGATTGGTTGATTTCTGAGTCTGAGTACGAAAATCGTGCTCGAAAGTTTTATGACCGCAAGGCCTGGACTTTATCTAAAGTGTAGCTTCTCTTGGCTTCGCTGATGATAATGAACTAAAATACAGGGGTGAATTAAAGTCATGACCACAGAGGATGCCACTTGTTTAGCAGAACTGCTTATTGTTTTGAACTCCTGTTTTCAACTCTTGTTTTTGAATGTGGTTATACAGCTCAATATTTAGTTTTCTATGTAGTTAGCCATAAAATCTACATGGTAACTTATCTTGGCTTTGTGCTTTATAGTGGAGAATAATTGAGGGCACTCACCATGAAAAATACATGAGAATATTATAAATAGCAGAAGTAGTAACTAGTTCTAATTGATGATAAAGACATCTTGAAATATGTACATGTATATGTATTTCATAGATAAATAGTTCAAATAAGCTCTCTCTTGTTTGCCTTTAGCACATATCATGCACTCAAGACTGGTCAGCCAGATCCAAATGAAACTTGCCCATTGGCTATTGGGCAAGTTAATATTTAACTGAGTTATGAATTAGTGTAACTTAGCTTATAATAATATAAAGATTGAATGTAACTTTGTCCGCATGTCATAAACAAAACATTTGCATTTAGGCAAACTTGGTTGGATAATGTCCCATGAGGTGAAGAAAACTTTACTGATCTTGCCGTGATTTGTTTAAAAGTTAAGGTAGACTTCATCTCAAAATAGAGTGTGGAATTGCCAAAAATACCACAGACCACTTCGTTCCATCAGTCCCCAACTCCTACAAAAAAAACAAAAAAACAGACAAACAAACAAAAACAAAGTTTCAGTAAATACTACAACCAGTACCAGGTCTTAATTATTTTTTTATTGTAGCACCTGTGTTTGATGCAAACAATGATGGTGACTTAAGGAGCCGTCTGAGTCAGGGGATTGTTGAGGGAACAACAGTTGGTATGTAATATTATTATATTGGATTAAAATATCCATGTTAATCCTGCAATTTGATTGGTTACCTAAACAGGGGATATGAGTCCATATCCCTTGTAAAGGAAACAAAGATAAAAATGGTAATTAGTGTTGAAATCAGGACACTCCAGTATAATATAATTGTTACTCGGGCTTCACAGGGGATATGGGCTCATATTCCCTGTGAAGATCACATATAACATAGTATTCAGATATTGATAATTCTCATGCAGTCACTGTCAGAGCATTGTTAAACGGACAACAGTTGTTATGTTACAATAGTCAGATATGTCATAGTGTACATGGTGTATGAGTGAAGATATTGTTTCAGTATAAAATTTATAATAATTCTATGACCAGATGACAATGTTGAAGGAATATCAATAGGTATATTATATTAATGAAATAAAAATTATTCTGAGTCACGACATGATGGCAGAAACACTAGTGGGTGTGTTATAATAATTAATTTATTTTGATTGATTCTTGGTTTCTTAACATAGTAGCAAATATTTCATGCATGTTCAGTACGCAAACAAATTAACAATAAATGCAATAGGTAGGTCCTATAATATAGGCTGTCCAGGATGAAGGTTGGGAAATATGGACTGCCACTGGAAAATGAGGGTATATTGGATAGGAACAGAAATTTTGCTTTACAACAGGCCACCTATGGATCCATCAAAGAGTTGTTGCAAGGGTTTTTTAACGTGCAGAGTGCATGGCACTCTCTTAACCCAAGGCATCAGATTTAACGTCCCCATTCTGACTGGACATTGCTGCATATTTGTACATCCTGCACAGCCAAACGGACACCCCACTTTGGCAAAGGTTTAACTACCGGTCGGAAGAAAACCAAAATATCCATATTTCTATTCCCCAGTCACCCTTGGGGATGATTTTTTTTTGTGTTGTGGCATTGGTAATGATACCATAAGTATGTCATGAATTTTAATGTCCATATTTGTTTCTTCAGTGTTACAGATATGCCTTACTTGAAACAGGTTACAATAAATACATGAAATAAGGATGAAGTTCATCATTTATCTTTATTATTTCAGGGACATACATAGGTCGCCTGAAGGCTTTTGTTCCAGGCAGTCCTAATACAGTGGTACAGTTTAGAGGTATCAGTACAACTTTAGCTGTCACACTGGATGGTACTGTCACCCTCAGTAGAGAACTGGACAGAGAGGTACATCATCACACAGAATTAAAAATTATTCCCGATTCAAATAATTCTTTGTTTATACATGATAATGCAATTTTTTTACATGTCAACGAAAAATTGTTACCCACGAAAATAAATGAATCCACACAAATCAAAAATGATTAAAGCGGCTGCTCGATTGATTTAAGTACTGGTGATAAAGAAATTGATATACAAGTTTTCATAGATTTAATGAATTATGCCACTTAAACAACATGAAATTAGAACAAATAATGGTTTTGAAACATATTTCTTATCTTCAGTTGCATGCTATATATTTCAGTGTTCCTCTTTGTATAATCTTTTTAGAGTTCAGATGATATTTTCCCATAGGTTTAATTGCAGCATCATATCAATGCTAAGTTTATATATTTACCTAGATTGTGTTTTGTTATGTTTTATTCATGTTAAGTTTTTATTTTCCAGGAAACCTCTCAGGGAGGTAATGATTTACAAGCAAAATGGTCGGCATATTATACAAACAATAATGTAAGTGATTGTAAATAGATTTATTTTGACCTGTATTTCATATAGAAATAACAGTCTTATAAAAATAAGAAGATGTGGTATAATTGCCAATGAGACAACTCTTCACCAGAGACCAAATGACATAGAAGTCATAGGTCACTGTACAGTTTAAACTGTTTGAATAGAACAATTCATAGTAAAATTTAGATAAATTTACAAATAATTAGTTTAGACTTAACCAGCAACTCATTTCACAAAAAAATCTTTCCAGAAAAAAAAACTCGTAAATCACGAACATTTCAGAATAACTTCTGATCAATTTTTATCTTAATTTTTTTCTGAAAATAGCACCAGAATTTCAATTACTTTATTATATCTCAGTCATTTTTCTAAGAACTAAGTCAGGGTAAATTAGTTAAAACAGTCAAATTCATACAAGCAGTACAGACAGGAAGGGAACATATATCAAGTTTTGCATAGCATGAGCTACATGAAATTTCTTTCCCTTTTAAGTTACAGCTTTAGAGAACTATTAAGGTAATGTAATGATTTGAAATAGAATTGATTTTAATGACGTACTGTTTCAAATTCCCAAGGAATCATTTATGCTTTTGTTAATTCTGAGAAAAGAACTGTGAACCCAGAAGTAGCATGTTCATTATTAATTATGAATGAAACTGGATTTACAATTATAATTTTATTGGGGCTGATATCAAATGACAGTAAATCATTGTATTTGTAAAAGTTATGATTATAACTGATAATTGTCCAACTCTTGTATTTGCATGTTATTGTGTTTTTTCATACAATATGGAGTGGCACTTTAATGTCCTGAAAATCATTGCAATCAAGATTATAAAGAGATAGTAACATAAAAATGCAATTTTATGACAAAAAGTCTTTAAAAATCTCTTATCTTCATGTTGTTTGTAAACATCAATTATTCAGATTTTCAATCTGTAAAGTTAGTCACATATGAATGTTTTCTAAACCCTTGATGAGGGTTAAAAAGTTGACAGAAAAATGTATAATTTGTCATCCGTTCATATAAAACCCAATCTGATAACATTAATATGGGTACTTTGTAAGAAATTTAAAGTTCTGACATATATGTAAGGAGATATGGGTTAAACCTCAATAAGACCAGCATCAGTTATGTATCATATTAATTGATTGATTGTCCTTTGCTTTATGACATGTCTTGTGGGAAATGTGGTTGAATATTTGTTCCACTAGTATCATATATGTACATTATCAGCAAGTACATAATCTGCCCTAAATATTATTATTTTTGGAAAAGTATAATAGATAAAAACTTTTAAAATTGAAATATAATAAGCAATAAAAAATCATGCAATAATGACCAAGGACAGACATGCCCATTATATATTCCATCTTCATCCTGCGGGTTCATTCATTAAACAATGCTGGTGAAGTATTCACTAGTATATAAACAAATGTACACCACTTCAGACAATATTTACAAAGCCTGCCAAGGTTTTCTTTATCAACTTAAAACATAAGCTCTAAAAAATCTTAACATATTTCAAGACTTCAAAAAATATCATGCAACGCACATCTTGACAGTATCATAATCTTTTGACCTTTAATGGAAAGGTGTAACTTCCTTCATTGCATAACAAGAAAGCATCACTGAAATTTATGACGTACTCTCAAAGACATTCATTGATTTTTGGTGTTAGACGCTACTTTCAGCACTATCCTCTATTTCTTGGCGACCAGTTTTTATTGGAGGAATCCGGAGTACCCTGAGAAAACCAAAACCTTTGTCAGGAAAAAAAAACAGTCCGAGTGTATTAAGATTTGGGTCAAATACACCTGCCATGTGGAGGTTTTAACTCACAACCTCAGTGTTGACAGGCTTATGATACAGTAGTTGAACTTAACTTATGCCACTCGGCCACTCGACCAATGCCCCTCAAATACATCAATATATATGTAATATATAACTGTTCAATTTTAAAAAATTTTGTCAATTAGTTTTATGTTGCAGTCATTTACTATTTAGATATAAGAAGATGTGGTATGAGTGCCAATGAGACAACTCTCCATCAAAGTCAAAATTTATAAAAGTAAACCATTATAGGTCAAAGTACGGTCTTCAACACGGAGCCTTGGCTCACACCGAACAGCAAGCTATAAAGGGCCCCAAAAATTACTAGTGTAAAACCATTCAAACGGGAAAACCAACGGTCTAATCTATATAAGAAACGAGAAACACTTATGAACCACATCAACAAACGACAAACACTGAACATCAGGTTCCTGACTTAGGACAGGTGCAAACAAATGCAGTGGGTTTAAACGTTTTAACAGGCGCTAACCTTCACCTTTTTAAAGAGTAGATACATAATACACACAGTTATAGTCATATCAATTTATGACCTTTTTTTTTAGACAATTTATATAACGGGAAAAAACAAAAGATAGAATAAGGCACATCCTTTCATTCCCTAAACCAAAACTTACAAGGTGTTGATCAAGGTGTTGACCTTTCTAGAATTTCAAACAATAAGCTATAAAAACTATATATTGGTTATATTTAATGACAAGTAAGTGTCTTTTTCATATATCCTGTATCTACTCTTTAAAAAATAGAATTGATAATTCCTGGTTTGATTTGATGTCTCATATGCACAAACCCAAACTTCAATTCTTAAACGCAGATGACTGCAGTTATCTATAAACTAAGTGAGACAAGAATCCTACTGATATAATACAAAAACAAAGTACTAAACTATTATTTATTAAAAGAATATAAACATATAAATTTATGTACAATATGGCAACTGGCTACTTATACAACTGCTCAGTAAAAACTAATAATATATTATGTACCAAAATTGACATCAGTAGAATAGCTAAATTTATCTTAAGGTCCAATTTGCCTGAGGGAGTTGGAACCTTAGTTTCTCAATAATTTCTAAATTTATCATCTGAGAAGTTAATGAAAGCATCTTATAAATTATGTCAGGACCAAATCACCGACTACTCAGCTGACTATAGTAACCAGAGGTTATATATTTACAAAACATAGAATTATTACATTAAAGCTGTGAAATTTGTTTTTTTTTCGTCTAACAAACTTCTCCACCTTGTCAGACAGACCCTTTTTAGCTGATTGAAAACCAAAATTGAACATTTTTAGAATAATTGTAAACCAGGTACTAGAACACGTAATTGAAGTCTTAACTAATTATATAGTACTACAGTATCATTAATTAATTATTATAATTAAGGTAATAAAAAAAACTGGATACCAAGTGAATTCTTAAAAAAAACTGTAACGATAAGGTCAAGAAATGCTTGACACCATCAACAAATAAAATGACTGGCATGTTTTACTGTATCGCAGCAGCTTGACAGTGATGATTTTAAATGTGTATGCGCTTTTTTAAAACTTTTTGACACCTACTTTTTCAATTTTCTATACTGTTTGGGGGTGTCAACAATTTTTTTATTTTGCCTGGTTATGTACCATTCAATAACATGCTACACCATCTTTTACCCAACTTTGGGCACATCTATTTTGAATTTGTGATCATATATATTTAACACATCACCTCAAAGTAGAATTTAGCTTTTTATTGTCTGAAAGAAAATTGCATTTTCGTGGATGAATGCACCTATGATGCTTCAACATCAATATCTTTAATGGTTTGTACTTAAACTAATGGTTTTCATTTTAATGATATAATAGATGATGAACAAGTTTACAAAATCTATGTATGTTGAAGACCGTTTGGTGACCTATAGTTGTTAATTAATACTGTGTCTTTTGGTCTCTTGTGGAGAGTTGTCTCATTGGCAATCATACCACATCTGCTTATTTTTATACAACTGCAAAAAAAATTTGCGATCGTATATTGGTATGACGTTGGTGACGTCGTCGCCTTCTTCGTCGTCCGAAGACACATTGGTTTTCGCACTCTAACTTTAGTTTATGTGAATGGATCTCTATGAAATTTTACCGTAAGGTTCAATACCACTAAAGGAAGGTTGGGATTGATTTTGGGGGTTATGGTATCAACAGTTAAGGAATTAGGGGCCAAAAATAAGCATTTTTGTAACTTCAAGACATAACTTGTGTGTTAGTGTATGGATCTCTCTGACATTGTACCACAAGGTTCCATATCACAAAGGGAATGCTGGGATTGATTTTGGGGGTAATTGCCTCAAAATTTTAAGAATTAGGGGCCAAAAAAGGGGCAAAAAACAAGCATTTTTCGAGTTTCATGACAATAACTTGTGTATAAGTTTATGGATCTTTCTGAAATTGTACTACAAGGTTTCATATCACAAAGGGAAAGCTGGAATTGAGTTTGGGGGTAATTGCCCAAAACGTTTAGGAATAAGGGGCCAAAAATTAGCATTTTTCTAGTTTCCAGACAATAACTTGTGTTCAAGTGTATGGATCTCTCTGAAATTGTACTGCAAGGTACCATACCACAAAGGGAAGGCTGGGATTGATTTTTGGGGTAATTGCCTCAAACTTTGAGGAATTAGGGGCCAAAAAGGGGCAAAAAACAAGCATTTTTCTAGTTTCAGGACAATAACTTGTGTGTAAGTGTATGGATCTTTATGAAATTGTACTACAAGGTTCCATATCACAAAGGGAAAGCTGGGTTTGAGTTTGGGGGTAATTGCCCAAAACATTTAGGAATTTGGGGCCAAAAAAGGGCCAAAAAACAAGCATTTTTCTAGTTTCCAGACAATAACTTGTGTTCAAGTGTATGGATCTCTCTGAAATTGTACTGCAAGGTACCATACCACAAAGGGAAGGCTGGGATTGAGTTTGGGGGTGATGAATCATAAGGGGGTTCAAAAAATTTGGGGGGGGATTTTTTTTCCCTTTTTTCCCTTTTTTTTTCTTTAAAATTTTCCAGTTTAAATTGGTTATTCCTGATTTATATATAAAAGCAAATTATAATGATATGGTTTGAATAGGTAAATTAAAAAATTTTAAGTTCTTAGACCACATTCATTCTGTGTCAGAAACCTATGCTGTGTCAAATATTTAATCACAATCCAAATTCAGTGCTGTATCAAGCTTGAATGTTGTGTCCATACTTGCCCCAACTGTTCAGGGTTGGACCTCTGCGGTCGTATCAAGCTGCGCCCAGCGGAGCATTTTATTATTTTAGTGATCAAGGATGACTCAAGTGGGTATATTGATTAGTAATCTGATTTTCTGATTCCTATTTGTCAACTTTGTAAATACCTTTTCAGCTTACTTGTATTTGAATTGTCTTAGAAACAAGATACAATGAATTGTTGACACTAAAACCGGACAGATGTAAGATATAGGAAAGGGGAAAAAGCCTATTGTTTTGGGGTCATGGTCAATTCATAAAAAAAAATATTTAATAAAACTTGGTTTAAGAATGGTATCACACTATGATTTACAACACATTTAAACATAAACTAGACAGTAAACTAACAACACAGTTAAAATGTACATCTATATACTTGTCTACATAACCTCTCACATTCAAACTTCACACCAAATATCACCACTTAGGAATATAAGGATTTGTGATGTGAACATTGATTAGACAGAAAACCAACAACACTATCAAAATCATACATCTATACACTTGTCTACATAACCTCTCACATTCAAACTTCACATAAAATATCACCTCTTAGGAATAGAAGGATATGTGATGTGGACATTAATTAGACAGAAAACCAACAACACTATCAAAATCATACATCTACACACTTGTCTACATAACCTCTCACATTCAAACTTCACACAAAATATCATACTTAGCAATGCTTAGTAATATAAGGATATGTGATGTGGACATTAATTAAACAGTAACCCAACAACACTATTAAAATCATACATCTATACACATGTTTACATTATCTCTCACATTCAAACTTCACACCAAACCACTTAGGAATATTAGGATATGTGATGTGAGAATTAATTAGACAGTACCCCAACAACACAATACAAACATACATTTGTCTACAGTATCTCTCACATTCACAACTTCGTACTAAATATTTCCACTTGTTATATGTATATTATCTTCATAGTGTCATTGGAAAGCAATATCACTTAATTTGTCATGGTTTATGTTATCCATAAGATAAATTGAATTTTACTAAGTAGTTACCCCTGTCATCACAAATAAAACCTGAAGACTCATTACTTTTAAAACAAACACACATCGGTAATCTCAATCCATTCTCTTGACTCATCAGTACTTTACTATTCTGTCCATCTTTTGATATAACTATTATTCTGTTAGAGACACAGTCTGCTACAATAATGTTACCATAAATATCTGTACATAGTCCTCTTGGTCCTTTTGAATCCTGTTTATATTGCCAGGTCTGTTTACCTGATCCATCAACACAGTATACTGCTTTACCAATCCAGTCACTATAGATTACTCTGTCATTACGGTAAACAAGGTACTCCAGGTTTGATTTACTCTCAACTTTTATTGACTTCAGTGTATTTCCTTCCAAGTCTAAAATACAGATTTCATCATTATTCAAACCTACAGCCAGAGAATTATTGTAGAATGACAAACCCCTGCTTACTTTGTCTAATTTGATAACTTTGGTAACTGTTTCATTCTCCATATTGAAGATCTTAATGGCTGTCTCCCTATGATAAGTCATGGCTATAGTGTCCTGATTGATCTGTGTAACACTCCAGGGTCTACCAGGTATAGGTAGTTGTTTCTGTAGTTTGCCATCAGAAGTAAGTAGGTAAACTTTACCTCCCCATTCCACTACTATAACTCTTACATCCATCAGACAAATCATGTCACTAATTTCCTTCTCCATGTTGATCTTTATCTTTGTCTCAATATTCATGGTCATGTTGTTTATGTTTGTTTGTTCTTGTGATTCTACTTGTGCTTCCCTCTTCACACTTGTTTCTCTATTCATGACTACATCTGTCTTAACAACCATTACTTCTCCTAGTGATTCTAATGATTCTAATTTGCTTAGTATCTTTTCTATTTCATCATTTTGTTCCATTTTGATGTCAACTTCTTTGAAGCTCTCATCAATTTCCAGATCGTCAACATATCTTTGACATTGGTGTACTTGTTGTTCAATCTGATGTACACCAAGAAATGATTGTAGTTTAGAACTATGTGTTGTGACTGTTTGTAAATGTTCTTTCATTTTCTTCAAGCTTTTAGTTTTCCTGTCAATTTCAGAAATGAAATCAGTTGCTTTTGATTTTTCCTGATTCCAAATACTATCTATTTCTTTGCATAACTTCTTCTCCAGGTGGTCTAAATGTTTATTTATTTCCTTTCTAATTTCTGTTATTGATTTCTTTATGCTTACACATTGATTTTCTCCCGTTTTGATGTTTTCTGATTTGTTGCTGATTAATTTGTTCAAAACATTTATGAGAGAACTTATGTCTGTCTCTACAGTTTCCTTTGATTTTTCAATTTTGGTTTTCTCTACGACACCTGCCAAACTTTTTATTCCTGTACATTTTGAATGACTGGTTGAAATACATTCATCACAGCAAGGCATTAAATGACTGGGACAGTACAAGTTGAGTCGTTGACTATGTTTGTTACATTCTGTTTTAATGGCTTGGATGGATGGTTTATAACTTTTAATATCAATTGTCTTATGATCACATGTTGCTTTGAATCTTTTGTGATGACTTAAACATGTTGAGCATAATCCTTCATCACAGTTGTAACACCAGACGTCAGCTTTCGTGTTTACTTCTCCTTTATGGCAAGGTCCACATAGTAAAGGTTTATTGGATGACATGACCTAAACATGTACAAATAAAAATGTTATTTAACTTAGCTTCATGAAATCTTGAAGAGTTGATACATCAAAAGTATAACCAAATCTGTAGAAGGAATAGGAGCTTTGCATCAGGTAAATAGATGTACATTCCTTTATTGAAAAATGGTTCCTTTTTTTTCCCAATATTTTTTAAACACGAAATTGTATTAAAATGAGTAGGTTCGACAAGGACCTAAAATGGCCCCTTTTTTAGATTAAATTTCAAATCGGGATTTATTGACAATATCACAATGAATCATAGCTAATACAGTTACTAGATCTATAGGAAAAAAGCCTTTTGTTGAAAATTCACGTACCTGCGTTTTATTCATGACGTCACAAGTAGTACTCATTTTGATTATATTTCCACAATGAAAATCAATGAAAATGGGTAAAATTCCATTGATTATTGGACAGGAATCATAGAGAGCATACGTCAACAAAAAAGATCTTTTAAAGTAATGTTTGTTAAGACCTTTCACATGTCTAACTTGAATATTTAGTTTGTCGACGCCTGCGCTCTATGTTTCCTGGTCCTAAATTTGGTTGAAATTTGGCCTATTTTGTCAAAATTCGCCAAAATCTCTTATCTTGACCTATTTTGGATGTACAAATCAATACTTTCGAAATAAATCTTGGACACAAAAAGTTCTATTTAACTTTCTCACATGTCTTTACGACAACTGAAAACATTTTTCATCTTGTAACCTTGAACTTTATAATTGGGGCCAATTATGGCCCATACTGAACTTACTCCTTTAAGGTCAATTTCCTCTGTATTTGTTTCACTAACAGGTTTAAAATATAAAAATTATAAAACTTGAGATTGTTCAAAAGTTTTTGAGGGAATGCTCACGAAAACATCATGGTCGGCACTCAAAATAGGGTTGTTCAGGCAAAGCTTAAAACATATCATGATCTTTTTTTCTTTTTTTGGCTTTACTGTATTTGATCAACAGAATCAATAAAGATAAGTATTTAACAATTTAAAAAAAAAAGTTGATATTCAGGGCCTTAAGTTTTTTGACACAGTTCAACCAGGTCTATATTTTAGCCTATGAACTCTTATTTATCTATATTTATGTCTTTAATGTGATAACATATAAAAGTGATTACACATGTCTGTTGTTATTGTCCTCTTGAAGTCCAGATTGTATTTGAAGTTAGGTTTGCCATCTTCTTATATTCATATTCAAATATATATAAAAAATAAACTAAAAGATACATAAAACCAAATACAATCCATGTTTTACATTGTCAAAAAAGATATTGTTTTTTCAACCATATAGTTTACCTCTTTGATTTAGGGAATTGTCACATCATCTGTATTTTGTTTCTATCCCTTTTTTTTCTCTAAAATGTCAGTTACAAGGAAGTAAATTAGAACAGGTTTATACACGTCTCCATAATCAGTATACATATTTAAAGGTCACACCTATATATAGATCGATCATACCTGTTCTACTTAACAGATAACATTTAAATGACACAACCATGAATATGATATAATAATAATTAATTTTCCTCTAAAGATAAATCTAAAACTTTTTTGTATAGAAATTTTTTTAAATATTTTTTTATTAAAGTGAAATATTTTTATTTTTTTGCTTTTATACTATAACAGATATGTCAAATTGTGCACTGCAAAAAAGTTCAACAATACAAGATCAACACAAATAACATAAGTGGTTGCATTACAGGTAAACAAAAATATCAAAATGTCATTTCTTCACCAGGTGAGTGATTCAGGCTCTTTGGAGCCTCTTGTTATTTTTTTTTATAATAAAACTAACTACATATTTATGTTGAGATAATTTTACAGCTGTTTTAATTTCTTGCATTTGTTGAAGAAAATTATTATTTCACTAAACTTATTTATTTTTTTTATTTTTTTGAAAATAGGAAATCATAGAAACCCAATCCACGGTAACAGTCACAGTAATAGATACAAATGACAACAATCCAGAATTCCAGAATGTACCTTATTCAGCTCAAATTCCTGAGGTAAGGTTTGAATTATATTGTATTGACAAAACATTGTTTAAGAATGGAGTTATTTATAGCTGCAGTCCTGAATTGACAGCTAGAAGACAGCTAGAGTAAATCTTTTCCCGATTAAGACTGACATTATATGGTGGAAAAGAAAACAAATTCTTTGGAGCAAGATAATGAATATCCTACATTTCTATGTCTTTATATCATTTAACAACCATTAGGAATATATATAAAGATGTGGGGAACATGTCAAAGAGAACAAAACCAGACAACACAAGTTAACTAAAATAGACATCCAAAGGGTTTTTGATAGGAATTAACTGTTTACATAGCCTAAAAATTTGTTACCTCAACTGAATTTGAATTTTCAAGCAAACATTTAGATTTTCTATTCCTTTAAATTCAAAGGTTGGTCGATTAAATAATCAACTAAACAGTGAACAATCTCAAGTTTTTATATGAAAAAAAGAGATATGGGGTATATGTCAATGAGACAGCAAACTATTGAAAGTACTGTCTAGTTAAAGCCTTGGCAATTAAAATATCACTGCTACCTTGTGATGTTAAACAAAGAAGCTTTGGTATAATTCCAATGAAACAACTACCCACCATAGTCCAAATGACTAAGAAGGTTAGTAACTATAGGTCACCATACGGCCTTCAATAATGAGCAAAACCCATATAGCATAGCAAGCTATAAAAGGATGACATGATTAAATATGAGAAAACATGAAATTCAAATGAGTAATTAATACTAGAATAATAAAAGAGAAATAAATGTGATAGACAGCAATCAACAACAACCACTGACATGGGACAGACACATAGAAAATATGGAAGAGTTAAACATGTTTGTGAACAACAATACCATAAAAATTAGAATGTGATATTCCTTTGTAATAAGACTTCTACAAGTACAGCCAAATTTCCAAACCAAATCCTTGTATCTATGAAAGTTTGTTTTTTTCTATGCCTCGGTATACTTATTTGAGGAAAAATATTAAATGGACAAAATGGCGTATAGTTTTATGGCTGAGTAGGACAGCCATTCTGATCAAGACTAAGTTTAGTAGATACACAGTTCTATATAATCCATTTGTCACTTTATTTTTGCACTTGATCATCTTGATCATATTTTTTTACCATGCAAGATATCTTTCAGAATTCCAGTTGCTGTCTATTTTAACAAATACCAAATCCCTCCTTTTTTGCTTGTCATCAATTCAACTGATTGATTAAAGTACAATGCTGTAAGAAACATTGTGGTGTATAATAGATTAGATATGCAGGAAATTTATTTGATACAATATATTAAGGGTACAACTAATGGGAACACACACTAAACATTCTGCAAAAAATATGCAGTAACCTTATTTGATCCAATCTATTTAGGTCACAGGTGTTGGAAATATTGTGTTGTACTAAAGATATGCAGTAACCTAATTTGATCAAATTTATTTAGGATACAGCTGTTGGGAACACAGTGTTCAGTGGAATTAGGATATTAGATAGTGATATCGGTATCCATGCTGAGGTTGAATTAACATGTTTTGTCGATCCTACCGATAGTCAGGTATGTATATGTTCCACATGGAAAATATTTTGTTCAAAGGTGAAAGATTAATGAATTGTATACCAAATATGATAAGTAGAACTACCATTAAAATTTTATCAGTTTTTGAGCTCGTCTTGTTACAACTATTGGTTTGTTTAAAACATGCAGACTGGCTGAGTCATCACTGTCAAATAGAAAGGCTGTCATTTTCTCTGATTTTCTCCAGAGACACTTAGGGTGTTGGGTTTCGGAATTATATTTTATGCATCTACAGATTAACTTACAAAACCAACATGGTTGTCGTTTTGTTAAAAATAAATAGTAGATAGGGGTAAAAACCCCAAAAATTGATTTAAAAGTCTTGCATGGTATTGAAATATCACTTGTGATTCCTCTAAAGAAAAGTGATTAACAATTCAATCATTCCCAGACAAGGCTGTCAACATTACTTAAACGGATATAACAGAAATTCAATGAAATTTTTATCCTGGTGGTCCTTGAAGAAAATCTGCTGGTCCCCACTATTATTTCTATTACAAAATACCAAAACTTGTCAGACAAAACCTTGGACCACCTCTTTTCGAGAACTCTGAAGATATCTTAATGATTTTCTTAAAAAAAAAATGATTAAGGACTGAAACTGTCATTAAATACTTTGCATTCATTATTTAATAGTAAAATTTAATGTAGTTATTTATTAAAGCATTCTGAATATCAAAAGAATCTGGGATTAGGAAGGTAACTTTAATAGAAAACCAAAGGATATTGGATAAGGTAACTTAAATAATACAAAAACAAAGGATATGGGATATCTATCCATAACACAAAACCAGTACATGCACAGCAAAAAAACACAAAAAGTCTATAAACTTGAATGTCTGCTTTTTGTTTTAATTTGCCTATAAATATGAATGTCTGTCTGTTATTTAGATCTCATTATATTTCAGACTGTGGAAGCTTGTGAGTACTTCAATTTGACAACTCAGCAGCTGGGACAAGGTTTATACAGTGGAGCGGTCATTTTGAAGAAACCATTGGATTATGAATTCAGGAAGGGGTTTACCATGACTATACAAGCTAAAGTAAGTGGTCAAGACAAGGTTATGTTTTAAAAAAAAAAATATACAATAAAATGACGAATACCTTAACACAGTTCTCTGGCTTCAGTTATATTCAACCATTCAATTAACATTTGAGAAGGTTAACACACTTGACCAACTTGAATCCTAAATGTCCTAAGGGATAAATTTTACTGACTTTTATTTTGTTGATTCTTGTTTTCATACTCATGTATTATAAGTATTAAAATACATTGAAATCCATAAACAGCGAAAGACTGACATGTAAAATGTACTGCAGAATAGGGCCTTTACATGAAATGATTTAAAAGCATGGAATTTGGAATGATTATCACATTGTTGTCAGAAGATCTGTTAACATTCTGGTATAACATACATTAAATGGTATTACAGATAATTTACCCTAATTATTATCCACACAGTCACATCCAGTCTAAACATCTGTGTCTTTATATTTTTACAGGACAATTATAAACAGATAGGAGGGGCTCCATCTTTGATGACAACTGTCAATGTTTTGTTGGAGATAGAAGATCAACAGGACACGCCCCCTCTGTTTATGGAAACACCCATTACAATATTTGTTATAGAAAATCTAAGTGTTGTAAGTATATTTTGCTTAAAAATTGAGTTTTTTAAATGCTCTGTTGAAGATATTCCATTTGCTCCCAAGATTTAGAACTGCAATAAAACTATTTTTCTGAGTAGAACATGGGATCATGTTTATTTTCATCCTTTCATATTCCTTTGTTTTTTAATGTACATCATTCTTTGAAATGATTTTCATATATATTTTTTCAGTATCCTGACTTTAAATTTTTTACTCTAATTAGTAAAGCTATATGAAGAATTCTACTGAGGAACAACTAGATATTTCAAAATAAGATTATTCTCCAAAGGGATATGATTCTAAACTTTTTATCCTGAGGTAGAAATGTGAAAAAATGAAACTAAAAAGGGTGTAAGAATAACATGACATGCCTGTTTTTCAGGGTACACCTGTTGCAACTGTGACTGCTAAAGATGGAGATGAAGGATCTCCTAGACCAATCAAAATCGTTAACAAAGGTAAACTTATGAATGTTCATAATAAAAGCTAGATATATTTGAAATATTTTGATAAACAGTTCATTTTAGAAATTCAATTTCAAGTTCAATTATTGGACTTAAAAAAAAACATGTATAATTAAATACTTCGACCGTGTGATTTTTATGTGTGTTTTAGTGAGAAGTGTTAGTGTGTAATAATCATGTAATGACTTAGATTTATTTGTTTGTTTCAACCTGATTTGTTTATCGGCATATATGCATTATAATAGAAGTCAAAAATGGAAAAAATATCAAGGACAATAAGTTAATGTCAGTTACGACATACCATCTGTTCCAGACCATCTAAAAATTAATCACCTGTGTATAAGTGACCTATGACAACTGATCATATCTCTTTCATTAACACATTTATTTTAATTTAAATGGATAAAATTATATTAAATAGGGAATTAGTTTTCAAGGAATATTTACCAACATTCATTGAAGTTAGACGGTTTAATTAAATGTTCTATTCATCACCCATCCAGTTGTTTATCTTTTCACACTTTGCATCCCATTTATTTCATTCTTACTTTCAGAATGTAAAATAACTAATGAAATTCCTGTTTAATTTTCATGATAATTACTGTAAATTCAGAAATTATTGCAATGTTTTTATCATTGCGAAAAATGTGTCAGTATCAGGATCACAATATTAAAAACTTAAACATTCATTATTTCAGTGGTGATTTTCCTTCCTGCATTGGTATTAATTAGATTTCAAAATTTTGTCAGAGGTCAAGGATTTGCAATAATAAATGCAGCTTTAATTTCTGAATTTACAGTATATTATTTTGACAAGTTCAAATAACTGGTGTGTGATGACTAGCAAATGACATGCAGGTAATAAATGCATGAGATTTAGTTATAAACTTGGATAGTTGTTCTATATTTCCATACATGCATGGATTTTATTGATTCAAGAAAATACAGATGAATTTTATGTATAGAATAAAAAAAATTTTTTTTAGTAAGTTATGACAGTTGTTGGTCAAACAATTGAATTTCAACCAGGTATTTCCAACAGCAATTTATTATCTGTTCACCATAACTACCTGTTGATGATAAAGAACTGTTTTTACTTTTTGTTATGTCAGGGCTTTTTATAGCTTGCTCTAGTTGTATTGGTTTTGAAGGTCCAAATGGACTTATACATGTAGTAACTTACATCTAAGTTATTTGGTCTCTGGTGGATAGTTGTCTCATTTGCAGTCATACCATATCTCCTTATATTATACTGTGAGAGCATCCATGATTATGGTATTATGATTGAGGTTGAGATCACACCAACATGAGCTGTTGATCTTTCACAGAGAACATATGGGTTATGTCACACAATAAAATGTTCTTTAGGTTTACATACTTTTATGACACAATTAAGCAGTTTGACTGCTGTGTCCCTGCTTTTTATAAAAATGAAAGAAGCCAAGGCTTTATTTATACAGAAGAGACCCTAACCATTCCATAGGCAGTTACCTTCATATATCCTTTTATTGACCATGCCAAAAACTTGTTTATTAAAACTAGTTGATTTTGACAACAAAGATTTCAGAGTGACTGTAGTTTGAGGTTTTGCATTATAACCAAGTTTTTAGATATAAAAAGGACTTGAAACAAATTGACTTTAAGTGAGTTCTGCAATGAATTTGGAACAGTAAATTAGAGTTTTACTGTATATAAAATTCAACTAAACAAGGAAAGAATTTAAAACTTTTACAGAATCTTGTATAATACAATTTTTACACCTATTTTATTTTGGGAGTTTCTTCAACAAAAATTTAGACTTTTATATTGGTGGAAGTGAGAACAGACATCCAGAACTTAAAATTTTTTAAATGATTGAATGGATTTTAGTGAAAGTTTAACAGAAGATGCATAGCTTGACTTGTTTGATATTTAATCAAAGTGACTTTTGGACATTATCATATTGTTAGAAACTTGTCTATTGTTTAAGGATATATATTAATCTAGATGTCTTTTGGTTATTTTTGTCATTGGGTTAACTGTCTCATTGATGTATATACCCAATATCTACTTTTATTCATTTCATAACAAAACATCAGACTTTAGAGTTGAATTGGCAAACAGATTTTAACAAAAAAAATGTCAAACGATCATAATACAGTAATAAAAAAAAATAAAAAATTATCAAATAGTTCTCCAAATGAAAATGTTAGTACAGAATTTACCTTCAAAGTTCTTTTAAGGTTTCTGTACCATAATATATTTTATTGTAATATTATAGGGTCTGTAATACTGGACATTACTGTTATACAACCACAGATACACATCTAGAAATTATACAGTCGTGTACTAATCATTGATTATGTGTCTCTTACTAATCATTTGATTCTGTGTTTCTCAAGAAAGAAATTAAATATTTGAAAAACATCTCAAAATATTATTTTATCGTTTTGATTGATTTGTATTATTGATTGATATTAATTGAATAACTGTTGTGTTTTAAGCGTACGGTAAGTGTAATTGTTGCTAACCAACTCTATAATGTTATGGTACACCCAGAGTGGCAAAACAATCTTCTAAGGTCAAATGTACTTTAAAACTCAAATCAAGATTTCCAGTCAATTTTTTTTTATAATATTCTGGTATAATAAAGGCTGTTTTTCTTATGTGAAAGAAATGAGTAATTTGAAAAATACTATAAAAGAAGAAATTTAAAAGTACATGTGACCTTGCTCTCAGCTACTGACAAAGTGTGCTTTATACTCATTTGTAAGAACTTTATAAGGATTATGTAGGGTGACAGATCCTTTCTTAACTTTGGATGATGGTTATATTTTGGTTGCCATGACAACTGTTTGTTGTTGACACTTTATATTAGCATGATAAAGAATGATAGATGTGATTACAGTTGTTATGGCAACCTAATACTTTTTACTCTAAATCCCTGGAACCTCTATGGTTTATACCCCTTGATCCTCAGACTTCACCTGTTTTTGAAAAATCCTTGATTTTCCCCAAAGTCAGATTGAACTGGTGTATTTAATCATCCTTTCTTTATGAATAAATGTTTTGTTTGAATTAAATAAGATATTATTCTCTTATAGCATTTTTAAAATAAGTTGATGATCATGATATCCTATGGTACTCATGGCTTTTATTGTGCTAACATAAATAGCTATTATTTCATGCCATCGATGGCATTGTTAACAGATGAAATCTTTCTGTTCTTTTGAAGAAGATATTCTATTGATAGCCATTAATATAAGAGGTGCTGCAGCTTAAATTGCTTCTTTCTTTTTTTTTTTTTTTTTTATCTCAGTGTCAATCTTTAAAATAATTAATGATACTTTCCTCAAACTAGCTGTGGTTTCTTGAAGTTTTTACATAATTCAGATGGGAAGTTTTTATTTATATTTCATTTATAAATGAATACAAACTCAAGCCAGTTGCAAAATTCTGTTAGATTTCGTTTAAGGACATTTCTTTCATAGTATTTTAATTCCACAGTTTTAGAAATCAATCTAATGATATTTGGCTTACATTTTAGATACTTCTGACATTTATCAACTTGACCATACATAGCTTTGTGTTTTTTCATTCGGTTAAGGTCATAACTGAGATTAACCATCTGTACTTGATCACCCCCTCAGGGTAAAGGTTACGGGATCTAGCACATTGTTGGGTAAGGTAACATTCCTTGGGTGGTGTTCTTTTGCTTTCATATTTTATTTATGTCAAATTTATATGTCAGTTGTTTGTATATGAACAACTAATAATAAAAACATTACATAAGTCAGGCTTTAGAAATAAAATTACTATAAAATGCTAAATGATAATGCTTTTATAAAACTGTTAATGAAGTTATGCGCTGCGTAAAGAAAGTCTAATGCATGTTATAATTCTTATCTTGTAAATTCTTTTTATAAAGTATTTTATATTTCAGCATGGCGTGTTTGCATGTCACATGTCAAGCATTAGTCAGAACTTCTTTTGAGTGATTTTATTATGCATGCATTTTGTAATTTATAACTATAGTACAATATCTGTTTGGTCATATGCCATCATAGGATTTTCATATTTCTTTATTGGTTTAAAATATTCTCAAAAGCTAATGTTTATTGAGATTTTGTTGACAAAGGTTATACAAAGTAATACATTTTAGCTTTGAATGTTTAAATATAATAACTAGTCTGTATGCTTTTTTCAGTGAAACTAGCAAAATAAATTTTTTCTGTTTCCGTCTTATGTTCATTATCCTTGACCTCATTTTCATATGGTTCAGTTACTACTTTTAAAAACTGAATGTTTTTTTGATTTTTTTTTGTGTTGTGAATTTCTCACTTATGAGTAATAGGATTACTATATTTGGGTTTCTTAAAGGTCTACATGTCAGACAAGGTTCCCCCCTCATTTCATGAATCAGTAATCAAGGGTAACTTTTCGTGGTCAAGTCTGTAACTCAGATACTTTAAGCTGAAGGTCAACCGTATTTGGTATATGGAATGATTGTAAGATTTAAATGACAGTTCTGGCAGGTTTTATCTGACCTCATTCTTATGGTTAATTAGACAAAGTTAAGTTTTTGTGTTTAAGTCTGTTTCTCAGATACTCATAAGAAATAGGTCAACTATACGTAGTGTATGATTTTTAGATGGACATGTCTTTCTAGCATTTTTCTGAAATTTCATCTAACCATGACCTTATTTTCATGGTTCATTGGTCAGTGTTAAGTTTCCATTATAAAAATTGGTTTAAAAGATATTAAAAGCAATAGGTCCACTATATGTGTGTATGGAATGATTGTATGGTATACATGTCTTTCTGACAAGTTCATCTGACCTAAACCTCATGGGTCAAAGATCAGAGTTTTATTTTTGTGGTTAGGTCTGTTTCTCAGAAACTATAAGCAATAGGTTGACTATATTTGGTGTATTAAATGATTGTTAATTTTACATGTCCGTATTACAGGGTTCATCTGACTTTGACTTCCATTAACATGAATCATTGATAAGGCTAATTTATTGTAATATTTGTAGCGTAATCGTTTTCTTTAAAACCTGTTAGACATTTCAGTGTGTGGACTCTTGTTATTCAAAGTAAACATGCAGTAGTCATTGCATTTAAATTAAGGAATTCTATTTACAATACAGCAGCATGTACATGTATGGTGACTTCAAATATTTCAATGATGAAAACATGCTGAGATTGAAAAATTCAAATTTTGAAATGTGTAGAGAAAATTAAAGGATATTATAGTTTATAAATACTTGTAGCCAATAGACAGTTAAAGGGTATTAAGTAGATAAGTTCTTGTAGACAATTAATGATGCAGTACAACTGTCTACTCCTTATTGTTGTTAGTACAAAAATTGGTAAAAAAATTACATTTCAAATCCTTGGGACACACATATTAGTGTTTCATATTATATGTTTTAAAAAAAATATTTGCTGAAATTATTGTAAATTATAAAATTTCAGATCCAAACCAGTTGTTTAAAGTGGGGGATGCTGTGAAAAAAGCTGAAAACACCTGGGTGTCTCAAGTATTAATAAACAATCCTATCGACAGAGAAGTTCTACAGGCTCGGTACCAGTTTGATATTCAGGTAAGAAAACCTAGACAATTCCTGTATTAATAAACAATCATATTGCTATTTTCATATATTTTGCTTTGATCTTTTTGTGTGATGATTTTCAATATCAAGCTAGTCTTGACTGAGAATAGTTTTTCTCCATTCAAGTAGAATACGTGAGAACACGATGAGCCTCTACCATTGACATTGCCTAGGAACAGACTGTCTATGGTCTTTCAACTCTAGGAAGTTTCCAGGCTACATCTCATCTCAGGGCTATCCCCCTTCAATGAGTTTGTTACTATATAGACTCGAAACTCTTGTTTTCAAAACCATAAATAATCTATAGATATCGACAAAGTTCTACAGCTTGATATTAGTTTGATGTTATGTAAATCACCCTGTTCTCTCCTGTATTGATGAACAATCCCCATCAACGAAGAATTTCTACAGGCTCGGTATCAGTTTAATGTTCAGGTAGTGTGAAGCATAAAATCACCCTGTTCTCTTCTGTTTTGATGAACAAGTCCTAACAACAGACAGGTGTTATAAGCTTGAAATTAGGTTGATTTTCTGTAATTTTGAATAAGATAAGAGCTGCATCAGTAACATAAAAGTGTATCTGAGGAGCATACAATTTCCTACAAAATTGTATATCTGATTACCAAAAATAATGATGGTAATTATTGAAAACAAACATGCACCAACTTTTTGGAGCTCACTTACAGGGTTACACATATTTATAATGTCTGTTTTATGGCAGCTATGGTTAAAATGAATAGATTCTAATAAATGATATGTCATTGTTTGGCATGGTTTGATTTTTGTATCTATCTGTTTATAGGCTATAGAAATAGAATTAAACGGTACAGAAACCAATCAGCGAACAGATACCACCATCACTGTCAATATACAAGATATGGACGACAACCAACCAGAGTTTGAATTCTCCAGTTATACTGTTAATGTCACTGAAATGGGTTCACAGACATCAGGGGCATCAACTCTTCCCGGACTGACAATGAAAGTTACTGACCCTGATGATGTAAGTACAGGTTTTAATGAGTGTAAGTCAACATATATTTGTTTCTGCCTCACAAAAGTTCCACTGGAATCATTGTTATAAACAATGCCATAATATCTGTTCCTATTGGAACAAATATTCTATACTCTTTATTCCGTAAGGAACGAAGTCTGTAATATTTTTTCCACTGGAACAAATACTACAGAATATTTCTTCCAATTAGAACTTGTATTTCATGACATTGTGATTCCATTTTAACACCACAAGATTTTGTCTATTTCCCCTTGAAATCTCACATTTTCAACTTTGTCATTAAATGCATAATAATTTCTAGTGTAAATATTTATTAGTTTTTATGTTCTTTTTTAAGTTACTGTTACCTGAAAGTTATTTGATTTACCAATAATTTGATCAACAGGAGATTAAAGCTGTAGGTATTGTACAAAGTAACCCCAAAGGTTGCTATTCAGGTGAGATAAAGGTGTATACAATATAAATAGGGGTACAGAAATATTAATCTGTCCAGCAGTCAGACAGTGACTATTGCAAACAGGTCCTATTACTTTTCAATCGAGATTCCCTACCGTTTTTTGTCGACCCTGACTTCTTTCACAGAAAGCTCGACATAGGGATTGCGATCCGGCGGCAGTGGCTGCGGCAGTGTTAACTAACTTCTTAAAAGCTTAATATTTCAGAAGGTAGATGACCTGGATGCTTCATACTTTGTATATAGATGCCTTATGATATGCAGTTTCCGTCTGTCATATGTCTATTGTCCTTGACCTCTTTTTCATGATTCAGTGTAATGTTAATTTCTCTCTTGTTATGAGTAATAGGATAACTATATTTGGTATGTCCGTACCTTGCAAGATTCTCATGCCGGTCAGAAAGTTTTCACTTGACCTCGACCTCATTTCATGGATAAGTGAACAAGGTTAAGTTTTCGTGGTCAAGTCCATATCTTAGATACTGTAAGCAATAAGTCTACTATATTTGGTGTATGGAATGATTGTAAGGTGTACATGTCCAACTGGCAGGTGTCATCTGACCTTGACCTCATTTTCATGGTTCAGTGGTCAAAGTTAAGTTTTTGTGTTTTGGTCTGTTTTTCTAATACTGAATGCAATAGGTCAACTATATTTGGTGTATGGAAATATTTAACGATGTACATGTCAGTCTGGCAAGTTTTATTTGACCTTGACCTCATTTTCACGGTTCATTGCTCTATGTTGAATTTTTTGTGTTTTGGTTTGTTTTTCTAATACTGTATGCAATAGGTCAACTATATTTGGTGTATGGAAATATTTTAGGATGTACATGTCAGTCTGGCAAGTTTTATTTGACCTTGACCTCATTTTCACAGTTCATTGCTTGATGTTAGATTTTTGTGTTTTGGTCTGTTTTTCTAATACTGTATGCAATAGGTCAACTATATTTGGTGAATGGAAATATTTTCTGTATGAGGTCATGTAACATAAAAAAAAAAAACATCTATGTGAGGTATATAATAAAGTGTTTATGATATGGCTTTTTCAATATCACACACCGTATCAACCCTCAACCAATATAATCCCTCGAGCAGAGCTCTTGGGATTATATTGGTGTCTCGGGTTGATAAGGATGTGATTATTGTGATATTGAAAAAGCCATATGATATTCTCTATTTATTTTCATCCTGTATATATGCATGGAATATTTGCCTCTGGAATTAAAGCAAACAACAGTTAATCTTTAGTCTTTCAGAAGGACATGCTTCCCATCAGTGTTACTATATATATATATTGAAACAAGACTTGAATTTGACTTCTAACTTTTTTAACCTTTTTCTTTTTCAGGCAAGCTTTGCAGGATTTAATATCACGATTACAAACGCATTTCCATTTAAAAACAACTTTTTGGTATCACCTGACAATGGAGTAGGGTCAGCCTTGATAAGTTTGACGATAGTAAATCCTTCTTTACTAGATTATGAGGTTGTAGACAACCGTATACAGACAGTTACGGTAAGACTATGTTAGTGAATAAACTTGGAGATCATATATGTCTCTTTTGTTTTTCTGCTGATTGAAATAGAAATAGGATTGAGTTACTGGAATAACTAGTGTAACCCTCTTCACATATTTATATGCCTGTCTTGGGTCAGGAACCACACTAATTTTGTTTTTATTTTTCTCTTATTATTTTTCTATATCTTTAAAGAATTAGTTGGTGGTGGCAGCTTTAGTAGTCTATCTAATGTATTCACATCTTATTTAGACTTAGACACTTGTCTATATTTTAGTTCCAAGAATTAGTAGTCTGTTTTTTCGTTTTCCTATTTCAATTTTGAACACAGCAGTCAAATGATAATGTTAATAATCATTGTCTGCATGAAAATGTCAACTTATTTGTATTGTCACCAAGGATCCGGAAATTTTTTCCCACAATTTCGATAATTTCGAGATGACTTAAAAGTTGGTGCCCTTTTTTCAAATTGTCGATATCAGACTGTCACTACTAGTAGTGTCACTATATTCATAGAATCAACGAACTTGTATTGACTGTTTCATCACATTTACTTCGTGATTTTTCATACCAATTTTCTAAAAACTTTCAAGAACAGTTTAGGGAAGGCAACAATTTAAAATTGAATTGATGTTAATGACTCAAAATGGTAAATTTCTCAGACATTGCTAACGTTTCTATCGATTTTGGAGACCAAATTAAAACTGGAAGTTTTGCGAATACTAAAGAACGAGACATTCCGGATTCATTTCCGGGATTCGTTTTGTTTATCAAATTGAAAGGAAATCACCAGCCTTTTAATTTTATTACCTTTAGAAATGTTTGAGTATAACAGATAATAGTTGTACTTGTTTGATTTAGCATGAAATCGTTTTGCATTTTACAATTAAATGTCCAATCTGCTGAAGACAATTTCATGCATACGTATTACATAGTAAAGAAAGCATGTGTTACTCGTGAAAAAATACTTACTTCTACTCTTCTACGTAAATTAAATTAAGTTTAAATTTTTAAATCAGAATTGAAGATTGGCTTTGCTGAAAAGTAATTAAAAAAAGAATACAGTTGTCATGGAAAATTTTACTTCTTTATGTCAGGTGTTAATTAAAACACAGGTAAAAAGTGATTAGCGATCATTGGTCAATATTTCCCAGAGGCATTAATCTAGTTATTAGGAGGGCCCTCATGATTATCAAACTATACTGGAGTGCCAGTTTTATTACAGGAAAGGGAATAAGTGCAAAATGGCAATTAAGAAACCAGATCTCAAAGAATTGAACTACATTATTTCTGTAAAAAAATAAAATTTGTCCTAAATCCCAATTTTTTCGTTTAGGGCAAATAGCTTCCAGCTTAGGACATGACTATCAAATATGACCGTTTCTGGACCCTTGATTGTCACCTTATCATAGGTTGCAATCAGGGTGAGATGTCAAAATTTATAACCTTTAGGAATTTTGGGTCAATGCTCTTCAACCTTGTACTTTAGTGAGTCTTTTTTAGACGAAACAGATGTTTGGCTTACATAATTTTAATCCATATTGATTTTATGTAAGTGTTGTACAAAATTTAAAGTGGATATTTATTTAGTAAGATAACAAAAATACCGAACTCCAAGGAAAATTCAAAGAATGGTACAGGCATTTCCTTATGTAGAAAATAGTGGATTAAACATGGTTTTATAGCTAGCTAAACCTCTCACTTGTATGACAGTTGCATAGAGTTCCATTATATTGACAACAATGTGTGAGCAAAACAAACAGTCATAATAGGTAAAAATGTCAAAAATTGGGGTACAGAAGTCGACATTGTGTTATAATCTTAATCACTAAAAAAACAACTATGTCAACAAAGAAAAACAAAATAGCATATAGACACTCTATAGACAAAACACATAAGCAAAAATGAAAGACAAGAATACAAAAAATGTTCATAGCACAATAACACAATGGCGGGATATATAAATACAGAGCCACAACAAAGAATATAACCAAAAATGAACTAAACAGTAAAGGTTACAAAGACAAATAAATTTATATTATTGTTTAATTATCTAACTTTTGTATTAAGGTTGTTGCCATGGATAAAAACAATGCCACAAGATTTAGTATAACCGTGGTAACCATTAATATACTTGATGCCAATGATAACTATCCAGAGTTCTCACAAGCAGGTTACTTTTTCTCGGCCAGAGAAGATTTGGCAGTTGGCCAGCCTATAGGTAGTGTAACAGTAAGTATATTTACCTGCTTAGGTAATTTTAACAAATACCGAGAGGCCTTTTATATTCTCTGCAAAATTTGGCATTTTCTGTTGTAATCATATTTTGATAGGCTTATTTATTGTTTAACTTTACCTCATATCCATAGGAGTGGGCTATACTGTTTTACCCTTTTCTGTCCTCGTGTAACTTCCATTGCTCTTTCCTTAGGAACTACAAATCACAGCTGCCTGAAATTTGTTTTCAGGCTATATGTTTGCAAGTCAAACTGTGGGATGAGTTTTCACATTTATTGCTCATCAACTTTTTGTTTACCAAATACTTGTATATATTCTAACACATATGTGTCCATGACTGAAATTTTCGTCCCATTTTTCTCAGGAACTAGGAATCAGAACAATTGGAAATTTGGTATCAGGTTTTAAGTGAGCATGCTCTACTGCGTCATGTATTTTCACATCCAGTGCTCATCAATTTTCTATTGACAGAATACTTAAAACAGCCTAGAAGGGTATCATTATTGAGTCAGATCTCACAGTTCATCTTATTCTCCAATAATTTATAAATATTGACAAGGATAGCAATACAGTCCTGATAGCCTATAGCTTGTATAGACCAATCTTGAGTTTGTTTACCCATAACAGAAATTGATTTATGTCATAGACCAAAAGTGATTGTTTTGCAAACATCATCACCTAATGAGGCATATACATGAGGGCGGTCAGAGAAAAATAATGGATCTCTACAATTGGTATCTCACTAGCATCAAAATTCTCAGAATCATATTTTTAGGTAATTTGTACATTTTCCCTTTAATCCTTCTGCCTAATATTTTTTAAGAACAAGGACTGGATGTGAAAATTTGAAATATTAAGCAATGTCTTACTTTCATGTCAATCAATGTTAATTAATCAATGAAATGCACACGTCACTCATACAACCAAACAACTATTACGATGCTTTGTATGCATACAAATAGTTTTTGTAACTTCTTCATGTAATTTCCTATTCTAAACACTAAAAAACATATAGTTACGGTGAATTGCTGATAAAAAGAATAATGGAATTCTTTTTTTTTTTTTTTGGCAATGGCTATTTTGCTGGCTCCAGCAAAATAGCAAAATATATAGAGTCATGCTATTTTGCCGGTCTTATTTCAGTTTTTATTAGACTATATGAAATTAAATTTTTATTGAAACTAAAGTCAGCAGTTGATGACTGTCTGGTGATAGAGGAGGAACACGTAGAAACCCGCCCTGAAATGGTTTCAAATTCAGACAAACTAGTGAATATAATGTCACAGTACCCAAATTGCACCTATTCAACAATAATAGCTGCGGAAAACAATTTGTAATTTTATGATTTGACATTTTAAACGTCTTTCAACATAAGTAAATATATTTAAATATACACAAAACGTTCACAGTATATATCAACAGATGAAGCATTCACTGGAAAAAGTCAAATCTACAAAAAGTCATATTTTAAAAATGAGCAAATAAAATATGTAACAAGCATCCATTTCTTAAAAAAAATGAAAAGTAAGCATGGAATAATGTCAAATTGTTCTAAATATTTGAAGAAAAAGAAAAAATCATCTGTTATTCGATTTTTAAGGATGTGATTTTTAGCATGGGTGCAATTTGGGTACTCCTCATTACATAATCATGGATTGTTTGAAGGTCGGTTGAGGCCCATTTTTCTATGATTTAATATGGATTCAAAATTAAATTGGTGTAACTATATAGTAAATAAGGATACGTCTACAAAATAAACACGGAATGGAAAATTTTGTCTGGATCATAAAAAACGTAGGTGAAAAAACTGTTAAAATAGGTGCAATTTGGGTACCCTCATGTTAAAATTAATAAAGAAATACCGGTATTGTACAGACGATGCATGGAAATCTATTTACAGCATTTATTCTATGAAAGTTGAATATAATGTGCAATATAATGTGAAATCTGCAATTTCTGCAAAAGTGATGCAGACGCAAAAAAAAACCATACCTCAACGCTGTATTTTTATGTGTTATGTGCAGTTCATGTCTGCATTGGCAGCATCTTCCTTGTGCAAGACCAAAGAATGCACCAAAAGAAAGGCACTGGTTATTTAACACTTTTAAAACATTTTGAGGTTGTTGAATGTTACTTTTGATTTAAGGATATTTTCATTGAACTTTTTAGTTATAATATCGATTTTAATATGCATGCTTTGCTTAATGTGTATTATATTCTTAAAAAAGACATATTGTTTTTAGAGACTTCTTGTAAAAGTAAAGAATATCAATTTTAATATTCATGCTTTACTTATGTATAAAATAAGAAAAGAAGGCATATTTTTAGAGATTTTTTATAAAACTGTATATGTTTCTATATTTTTTCTTTTCTTAATTAATATACTGAAAATCTGAATTAAGACCGGCAATATAGCAAAACTCTATATAAATCGCTATTTTGCCGTCTCCTGCAAAATAGCGCTAAGGAGGCTATTTTGCAGGAGCCGGTAAAATAGCACCTTTTTTTTATACAGACGTTAAGAAATACTTGGTCTGTAGAATCATTGTGAGGTGTACTTGTCACTTTTAAATGGTTCTCTTGACCTTGATATGAATGTAAACATACTTTAAGAAAATGAGATATTTTAGCATGTCAACTGTACATTTAGGGAACAGATCGAGACAGTGGTTTGAATGCAGCATTGAGATACAGTTTATCAGGCACTGGAGCTGATGTGTAAGTTGATTAGATTGTTAGAATATAGATTATATGACAACAGAGCTGATGAATAGGTAGTGGTAGTTTAGATACAGTTTATCTGGTTCCACAACTGTTAAGGAGATAGATACAAGAAATAGTTTACAGAACCTCTAGATCAGGTACCAGAAGTAATGTGTAAATAAAATGTAGAATTGGAATAAAGTTTATTTGTATCAAAAGTGATGTGTAAAAAGAGTGAATAATTGGTACAGAGCTTATTTTGGTATCAAAAGTGATTAAAAAAAAAAATAATGAAGAATTGTAATATATTTGGTATAGAGTTTATTGGTATTAGAAGTGATGTTAAAGGAGAACAAAGAGGTGGTTTTCCAATTGTATTTGACAGTTTCAATTATTGCTGTAGATTTGGTTTTAAAATTCATATTTCTATATGTGGCAAAAAAAGGATGGTGCTAATTTAACTAATATATATCATAAATATTAATATTACTGTTTATCGTTTTAGCTTTAATGTAAATGCTGCCACTGGAAGCATTACTTTGGCCAAACCACTAGATTTTGAAGTGACCCCTCGATATGAACTACTATATATAGCAGTCGATCAAGGAGCCTCACCACGACAGAAAAGTGTACCATTATCTATACAGATCATTAACTATAATGACTTTGGACCCGTGTTTAATCCGCCCACTTACACAACATCTATCAGAGAAACAGACTTATCGCTTTTAATACCAGTCACTGTCCAGGTAAGAAACAGACTTGTCACTTCTAATACTGGTCACTGTCCAGGTAAGAAACAGACTTGTCACTTCTAATACTGGTCACTATCCAGGTAAGAAACAGACTTGTCACTTCTAATACTGGTCACTGTCCAGGTAAGAAACAGACTTGTCACTTCTAGTACTGGTCAGTGTCCAGGTAAGAAACATTCTTGTCACTTCTAATACTGGTCACTTTCCAGGTAAGAAACAGACTTGTCACTTCTAATACTGGTCACTGTCCAGGTAAGTAACAGATTTGTCACTTCTAATACCTGTCACTGTTCAGGTCAGTTTATTTATTGTTATTCTTCTAAGACCATTTGTTTACCTATGTATATGAAGGAAAGTAGACATCTGATTCCTGTGGATTCATTATTATTCATCAGATACCTATTTCCATGGATATTTACAGGTAAAGGTAAACCAAGAATAAACATTTTTGATGAATTACAAATTTTCTATAATAGGTTGTATACAGACTTTGGCAAAATCATGAATTCAAATTATATCCAAGAAAATTGGTATCCACAAAAAAAAAAATGAATCCACAGTACATGTAATCATCCAAACTCAGTTTAATGTAATGCTATGGGCCTAAGTAAACTTTCTTCAAAAGTTTATTACTTACAGTAAATACTAATAATACAAGTACAGGAAATACTTAATTCTTCAATGCTTATATAGGCTGTAAAGATAATAAATTCAGTGAATATTCACACTAATATTGAGCACTGGATGCTAAATTATTCAGTCTTGTAATATGTCAATTTCCGCATGCAAACCATACTGTAACGGAATTATTTGACAATGTCTTATTTTGTCATGCTCCCTGTCAAGTGTACATTCATAGGAAACTGTGTGACCATTACTGTATATTATATTTAGGCCACGGACAAAGAATCATTAAACAATATAACATACAGAATCATAGCTGGGAACACGCCACCACCGGCAGCCTTTATACTGGGACTGAACTCAGGTGTTTTGTCTGTCACTAGAACTATCAACTATAATGAAACTCCTAACAATCAAGGATTGTAAGTTTATGTTAAGTCTCATTGGTTCTACTGTAAATTAATGCATGCATTTATTATTGCAAATCCTTGACCTCTGGCAAAAATGTGTTTGCAAATATTTGATGAAAGAAAATCACTGCTGAAATAATGAATGCTAGTTTTTATTATTGTGAACTGATACTGTCGCTTTTTTCGCATTTATAAAGACATCGCAATAATTTCTAATTTTACTGTAATTAGAAAAAAGTAAAAGAGTAGTTTGTATAAAAGTTACTCTCCTACATTTAAACACTTATAAAAGTGTGACATTACAACAGAAGAACATTTTTACAAATAAGACATCATTTATCAATTTTGTAATATAGTGCTCTTAACAGAGAATTGAAATATCCTAGTTTTTGATATTTTAGCTAAACATTTGCTATAATAAGAAAATAAATGATTAATCAGAATGCCATCTTGAATGAATGATATGTGAATAATCATGATAATAGTCCATATGATTTTGTTCAGTAAAAGTTTCCAGTTTGTGAGTACTTGTGTCTGTTTCAGCTTTGTACTAACAGTAGAAGCCACTGATGCTGATCAACCTCCACAGAAGACTAATACAACAATTACAGTATCAATTATAGTAAGTTGTTTGTTAAGTACTGTACCAAAGAGCGATCTATACACATTATTTTCCCTCTAGGTTGTTATAATCGATTTTTTTTTAATGGTTTAAGTTGATTTCTGATGCATTTTATATTTTCCGTTATCTTAAAATATAAAATTTTCTAAATTAACTAATTGCATAATTAATAATTAAAGTGTAACAGTAACTGTTCAAATGAAGAACCCCAATTAGAGTGCTGTACCTTTGGAATGTTGCTTATTTTCTAGATTGCATGTCATTTGTTGGTCTTGTGTCCACATCATACTTATCCTTTCTTTTCCAATTCTACATTGAAAATCACTTTAGTCTGTAAATTGAAAGTTATACAGTTAAATTGTATACAAAAATTATATTAAAAAAAATAACATGTCTCAGATTTCGCACTTCTGCAGATTTTTCTCTGCTTTTTTTATCTTCAGGAATAATTTTATTCATAAGTATACACAAAATTCTATGTCATATAAGATACAGTTGTTATGATTGGAGTTAGGGATAATGCCTCAAAGTTAAATATCCTTTAAACCAACCTTTCCTGAAATCTATGCTAGATAAATATGTAGGACTCAAATCTATGGTGGGTTCCAGATCTATGGCAGATCCCTAATCTATGGCAAATATGACGTCATGCCATCCCAAATCTATGGCAGATTTGTTACAATCCTAATCTATGGCAAGTTTTGTAATTTCCTAATCTATGGCGGATTTTTGTTGTTTCCAAATCTATGGCAAATTTTGGAAAACAAGGCAGTACATATACGATTGATGCCTTTTCTTAAACAAGTGAAAATGTATGAAAACGGAAGCATGTTTATAAACATTTTTGAAACAAACATTCCTATACCATAATACAGACCTCAGGATTAAAATGATGCGCCCCGGAAAAATAAGCGTCTTCTCTTTGGTCGGTTTGTTGTCTCTTTGACATATTCCCCATTTCCATTCTCAATTTTATTAATTTTATGGTACCTGTTTAGTCTATTTATTAAACCAACTAATAAAAATGGAAGTCCCATGACAAACAAGAAAGCAGTATTTTATGAAAAGAATCAAACAGTTTAATTTTCATATAATATTTATTTGAGCGTTAATCAATTTTTTTTTAACTAATGACGATTTAGGTCAAAGTGGTATCCTGTAATTTCATCTCTCACTTTATATACATTGCCAGGCGTAGATGCTAAAATATAAATTATAACTCCTTTCCTAAAATATCCACTACTAAAAACAGCCGTGCCTTTATTCATCGCGGGATTCGGACAGTACAGCACATCTTCCTTTAAACCATCGGCTAATTGTTTTTAGAGGGAGAGTGTTTCCCTGTGTTTTTGTTTGTAAAAATATGAAATCTGTGAGCCCCGTGTTAAATATTTGTTTTCGGTTTACATCATACAATTAAAAGAAAAAAATTATAAATGGTGTTCAAATCTATGCCGGTTCTGCCAACGTTAGCGCCGGCGACGACGACGTAATTATGGCGTTATTTAATTGTGACACTATATGTTACTCTTTTCCCCGGAAAATTACGCAATTTCAAGATCTGCCATAGATTTGGAGAAAACAAAAAACTGCCATAGATTTGATTTGTAACGTCATATTTGCCATTGATTAGGAATCTGCCATACATTTGGTACCCACCATAGATTTGAGTCCTACAAATATGTTTACTAAAAACTTTTTTGATAGGATGAAAATAACCATGATCCAATATTTGCACCAACAGTCTACAGTGGTTCTATAAGTGAAATAGCTCCCAGAGGTAAGAATATCAACAGTCTACAGTGGTTCTATAAGTGAAATAGCTCCCAGAGGTAAGAATATCAACAGTCTACAGTGGTTCTATAAGTGAAATAGCTCCCAGAGGTAAGAATATCAACAGTCTACAGTGGTTCTATAAGTGAAATAGCTCCCAGAGGTAAGAATACCAACAGTCTACAGTGGTTCTATAAGTGAAATAGCTTCATAGGGTTAGTACTCCCAACAGTCCACAGTGGTACTATAAGTGAAACGGCTCCCTCTGGTAAAGGTTACCAAAAGTCCAGAGTGGTAATATAAATGAAACAGCTCCATCTTGTAAGTATCACCAACAAACCTCTCTTTAGAATTTTGTTTTAAAATGTTGTGTTATTGCTGTGAACATCTCTGATCATTTCTGTTTTAATGATATAAAAATTATTTTGGTTAGCTGCCCTTCTATTTGGTTAACAGTATCCTTGTGTTTTCCTGATAACCACTAAATGATTTAAGATATTCAATTTGTTAACCTTTCTGAGTAGAAACTTACACAACTTTATTGTCTGTCAGAAATAAAATGAGTTTTTGTTTTGTATATTTTTAGACACTCCCATCACGACTGTATCAGCAACTGATGCTGATTTTGGATCTAATGGTAATATTAAGTATTACATCTGGAGTGGAGGCCAAGATAACTTTGCTATTAATACAGATAATGGTGCTATCACTGTCAGCGGCAGGAAAAATCTGGATTATGACAATATTAAATTATACAATGTTACTGTAAGTTGGCACGAAGACTCTTGACTATTATTATGATAAAAGTAACTTATATATCTTATATGATATGTTGAATTCATTTTGTAAGCAGATATATTCTCAGTATCATACAAGAGATGTTTACTCGATGTTGTCAAACTGCCGGTACTGTTATTAAAGTTTGGAGATGTTATTCAAGTCATTTTAACATGTTATTGTCTTCAGAAATGACAACTATTTATTTTTACTGAAGTAGAGATATTCCGTTTTATTACTATAAGGAGGATAAGAATAGAGGAAGGATACTAAATTTCAATACTTTTTGGGCTTGTTAGACCATATCAAATTTGGTTGATTCTCATCCTTGCTTGTCACATTTTCAAAGAGCAGGCATGCTAACAAATTATATTTAGGTTGTTTTTTAGGTTCACTGGGAAATTCTTAAACTACTGATGACTTTTTTTATATATATATATAGGTGAAGTTTAATATCTGACTTTGCACAATTTTTTATTAGTATTAGGTGCCTTTCAGAAATATACATTACGGTGCATAAAATCTGAATGTTTACAAGAATGGATAAAACTTGAAACAAACATATTTATGTATGTTTTACAGGTAGTCACAAGTTATGACTTAAATCATGTCTACTTCTTGTCTGATGAATTTGTCATAATTTACGAAGGAATGCAAGTATGATGGTTATCGTCATTAGAAGCTAAGAATGTCTTAAACTCAATTTAGTCTGTTCTTCATTTAATTACAAAAACTTGTAATAACCACTTTCAATAAAAATGACAAAAAAACCTATTTTATTTGTTTGGTGACAAGGAGGATGAGTGTCATATTGCACATGAACATGTGAGGGGGGATGTTAGTAGAATAAAGTTTTTACTATCAAATGATATTTTACAGATCCATGCAAGAGATGAAGGTGGTCCTCCCAGGACAGGGACAGCATCAGTTTTGGTCACTATAACAGATGCTAACAACAAATTACCAGTATTTCCAAAACAGGTCTACACAACTAACATTCAAGAAAGTATGTGGTCTGATATTTCAAAGCTAGTCATGTAATCATGTTGATTTCAACAAGAGACTATTACAGGTTTACTGTTACTATTACAATTTAAATTGATTACAAAAAGTACCAATGTAAGCATATAAGAATTAATTATTGTACTGGTTATAATTAATACATTGTACTTATATAGCTTAATCTAAGTCGATCTTCATAGACTAAACAATAAATAAGGAAAACTTGTTCAGTCTTACAGTCAATTTTATGAAGTATGCACTGTAAAAAATTCACGTTGCTTGCAATCAGTGGAGATATATTCAATCTATTTTCAGATATATCCTCTGGGATAAATTCAGTACGGTTTGGACACATTGCTTCCAATCAGTTGACATATGTTCAGTCTATTTTTAGACATGTCCACTTCAATAAATTCAGAACTATTTATACATTTTGTTTGCAATCATTTGAGATCTTTTCGGGTTATTTTTAGACTATGCAGTAGCTGCTATTAATTTGTGCAAAACAATGAATACTTTTAAAATTATTTGAAAAACAACTAAACAGCAAGGAAAATGTCTGAACTGTACTGGATATACCATCAGGAAAATATCTTGTTATATAGCTAAAATCCTTAACAGGACAAAACATCAAAATTCTTGTTTAAGTGTCTTCCACCATCTTGGATTGTAAAAAAGCAGAAAACAATTAGTCTAGATCTTTAATGAACTGTGCTAATTTTTAGAGAAGATTATAATTAATTTGCAAGACTTTTCATTAATTGAAGGAAATAGTTTGTTTTATGTTATTAGTATGACTGATTTTTACAATTCAGAATTTTTGTTTTTTGATTCAATTTTTTTCAACTTTGCCAAATAAGGGGAGATAACTTTGATAATGTTAATTTGATAAATGAATGTGTTACAAATTTACCTATTTTATTTTGAAGCAAGCAAACGAGTCCCTTGACCCCATTTTTTCTTTTTACTTTCAGAAATCACATTATAAGAGCTATCTTCTCATATTTTATCTTACAAAATCTCTATCATTGAGTTTTCTTTTTATCATACCAAATTTGGGTTTTCATGTCCAATCTATACAAAATCTGACAATTTTGCACACAACCCATAACTTGAAAAAAAGCCCTGTGACCAATACATTTTATTATATTTTTGAAAAGAGCATGATACACACTACACTTTGAAAAATAAAAAAAAAATCTATCAATTTTGATCTAGACCCCCATCTACCTTAAGACTAAAACTCATATACAATTGCAACAACTATAGCATACTCTGATAACTATGTAAATATATTGAATGCATGTGCATTATAATAATTTATTTCCTCTGTATCAGACTTATGTTTTGATTGGTTTACATTTGAATAAACCATTTTACCTTACTAGGTGTTAGTATTGGAGCTATAGTTGACACAGTGACAGCCACGGATCCAGATTCTACCAGTAGTCTTGTGTACTCTATCCTCAGAAGTTCTATAGTAGCCAGAGATAGTAATGGTGCTGTCATTAATTCTGTCTTCCCATTTGATTACAGGGTGAGTAGAAGCATATTCATAAAAACCTACAAGGGGCCTCAGTGGCCGAGTGGTCTAAGTAGTTGAATAGATTTCGAATAATTTTACTCAGGAAAAGACAGCAGAAAAGACAAAGCATCAACATAGACACTTTAACAGGCTTTACCCTTTCATAATACCAATGGGCCAACAAAATTTGAAGTGGCAGTTTGAAATTTCTCTTCAAGCTGATAACGGGTGAAATTTTAGTATGTTTTTTTGTGAAAGGATGTTAGTATGAAGCAAGTGCAGTGTAACAAAATATTCTCACTATCTAATTCTGGTGATTGACTTTCTGATCATAAGATATTTGGAATAATCAAAACATCTAATATTCAGGCACACTTGTATAAAAAAGTTGATGGATGTTAGAACTATCACAATGACATTTTATAAATAATTAGAAAAATTCTAAAATTTGTTTTCTTGAGCAATACATTATTGCTAACTTTTCTAACAAAAAATTCATTCCATACCTGCAATTTAAATTCCTACAATGGTTACTTAATTACTGATATGGAAGGGCAGTAACTTTCAAGCAAAATCAATGATATTTTATGGTGTACCAACATTAATTTGGGCCTGATCAGGAAGAACATACTAGAAAGTAGTACATATTTTTGTAATTTTGGTATCAAATGAAGCTGAATGACTGTTGATCATTGTAGAATATTTTTGACTGCTAATTTTGAATAATAAAAATTTTACATGAAATTTTAAAAAAGGAGGGTATATTTTGCCTGTTTCTCAGATCTGAAATACCTATTTTGGTACTTCCTATGTTCTGGGAACCAGTACGCTCTTATATGCAATAAAAGGAATGTTGATTTTTCAGCTCAAGACAAGTTAAGATAGTACACTGACATGAAACAGCTGTCACTTTATTTGATATTAAGACAAAAGCGCTATAAAGGCTTGAAATTGAAGAATTTAACATAGGAAGCAATTGGGCCAAAAATTAGTGGTGTCCCTCCTTATCATGATGTTAAGTAATAAACACAGTTATCTCCCTTTCTTGTTATGTATTCAACACTTTTCACAAAACTACACACATCTACAAATATATGTTCAGCTTTTTTTTTCAGAGTATCAAACATTACAATATATGCAGAGTACTTTATTTACTGTATAATGAACTTTTTGTGTTTGTATTTAAAATAGTGATATTCCTTTAGAAGTTGCTAAGACCCTCTAGGAAAATAGATGTGTGAGTTTATAAAGATTGTTATAACAAAAGGTCAATTTTTTTTAAAAACAGGATGCTTTTACCATTAATAATATAACTGGATTGATCACAACTGCTTTGAAGTTAAGTCGTGATGCAGCAGCTACTATTGACTTCAATGTGCAGGCACAGGATATAAATGCACAGGAGCCTTCACCTCAAACAGCCACAGGTAATGACTATATTGAATGGTTAGTTCAGAATCGGACAGAAAAGTGTGGTTAACACAAGAAATTAAGACATGCCATGTTCCATTGATTACCAGTTTTGTGTCCCTGGTTTGAGGTATTTAGTCAAATCTTACCACTACCAGACTAGACTGAAATTTCTTTTGACAAGGTCTTATTAGGTAATTTACTTCAACTTTACACACAATATATGTAAAGTACAAAATCATTTTTGGTTCAGAACATTTTAATATCTTGTGGAATATAAAATATATTTGATAGTTATCAGTCACCTGCCTGTTTCACCTCAGCTCAGCTCTTCATAAAATTTGCATATGATGGCTTTGTGATGTCAAATATACTTGAAATTGCTGTAATAAATTTGACCAAGACTTATCACCAACATCATGTATAAGAACTGATGTTGAAAGGTTTGACCTCAACTTATCAAGTCTTCTTCCCGTTTGCTGATAAATCAAAGAAAAATGAAGCCATAAATCTACATCCTAGGAAAATAACTATTAGGTTCAGTTTAGCTGTTTCAAATCTTATATTAACCTCTCTTGTTTTTTCCCGCTGTGAATATAATGATTTATCAAGGAAGATTACCTTTGCTTTAAGCCAATGAGAAAAGAGAAATTATATAGTCATATAATAATGCAAAATATCAGCTGCTGGTCACAATATCATCTTGAAGCCTTTTTGAAGTTATTTGATCACTTGACTTCATATTAGGATTCACAACTGATATTTTACTGAATCAGTATGCAGAAAACCTGATTATTATACCCCAATTTTAGGTGTTGGGTTTTGTAACATTTGTGGGGCTAAGTTACAATCCCCTAGTCTGTCACTCTGTTTGTATATCTATTCGTATGTATGTCTGTTTGTGCAACAAATAATTTTGGTCAAACTTTTTCTCAGAAAAACTACTTCACAGAATGACTTCATATTTGTTTAACAGCTTGACAGTGATGAGTTGTAATCAGTGAGCACTTATACCTACTTCATGTTTGCCAATACTTTGAATTTTTCAATATGTTGAATAAACTCGAAATTTTAATCACAAATTTTTCCAATACTACTACACAGAATATTAGGTCAACAGTGATGAGTTGTAATGAATGAGCACTTTTGGGATGTGTCAGATACCTACTTCTTGTGTTCTGATATTTTGAATCATGAGTGGAGGTATATATGCTTAGCAACAACAGCTTATGCATCCTTGTTGGTACTTGGTATCTGGCCTAACCACTAGTGGATGTGTCATTAAATATTGTTGTAATGTCTTTCTCCAGTGTCAAGGTCACAGTCATTTGTCGCATATCAATGTCTCATTCAGAGTTGTTGAATTCCTTGGTTGTTATTAATGCTGCTTTGTGTTGTTGTTGTCTGCTTGCTTGAAAAGTCCTAGGTAAGGTTGGAATGTTGTCTGCTTACTTGAAAAGTCCTAGGTAAGGTTGGAATGTTGTCTGCTTACTTGAAAAGTCCTAGGTAAGGTTGGAATAGTTTTTGTGACATCAAGGTCACAAACAACATGTTTATTTTCTAGATTTATGTTAAGATAGTTACATGAGAATCTCTGTTTGAGTTTTGCCTGCTATATCCGGGTGCTGGATTTTCTCGCTGTGTTGAAGACCCATTGGTGGACTTAGGTTGTTTTCTGCTCTTTGGTTGGATAGTTGTCTCTTTGACACATTCCACGTTTCCATTCTCAATTTTATTAATAAGTAACTTTATCTTTTTATTTCAGCTGATGTTTTGATCACAATACTTGCTGATGCTTCTGTTGATCCATACTTTGCTCCACCATGGACAGTAAGCAATCCTAACTACAACTTCAGGATATCTGAGGAAACCAATGTACAGACGATGTTAACAACATTGATTGCTACAGATCCTGCCATTACTGAAAATGTTCAGAACTTTGAGGAAGTACCAGGATCAGATATAGGAGATTATTTCAGTGTTGACAGAACTACAGGTAAGAATAGGTTGAAAAGCTTTTAAAGATTTTGAAGTATTTGTCTATTCTTTCCAGAGTAACTGATGGGTAGAAATAGAGAAATTGGACTGAATATTGGTTTGTTTCTTTGAAATTGTTATGAATTGTCGCTTATCAGATTCTTTGTTACTTGCACTAATATTGATTTATTTCTAGTTTCAATCATTACATTAATTATTATTATATTAACACTACATACATTTCAGGTGAGAGCCAGTATTATCTTCTGTCCCCATGATGGTAGCAACTCTACTATATATCTAATTATATCTTCCTTATATAAAAACACACATAATACTCAGTATGTAATTTACATAAAAACTTACTTTATATTTACAATTCATTTTAATTGTAGGTCAGATTCGGATAAAGAAAAGATTAGATTACGAAAGCTTGAATAACAAATTTCTAGAATTAGGAGTGATTGCCATTGGTACCCAAGCTCAAGCTACAGCCTCAGTAACAATACAGGTTACAGATATCAATGATAATGCACCACAGTTTCTGACCAGTGTAAGTAACTTATCAATACTCAACCTCAGACTGAAACCTCAGTGACTATACAAGTTACAGATATCAAAGATAATGCACCAGTTTCTGGCCAGTGTAAGTAACTTATCAATATGCAACCTCAGACTGAAACCTCAGTGACTATACAAGTTACTGATATCAATGATAATGTTCCACAGTTTCTGGCTAGTGTAAGTAACTTATCAAAACTCAACCTCAGACTGAAACCTCAGTGACTATACAAGTTACAGATATCAAAGATAATACTCCACAGTTTCTGGCTTGTGTAAGTAACTTATCAATACTCATCCTCAGACTGAAACCTCAGTGACTATACATGCTACAGATAGACAACTGTCTATATCATATGTCAATTTCTAAATTGTTGAATACAAAAATAACAACGCTAGCAACCTTGTATCTCTCTTGTCTACCCTAGAAGGCAAGATAATTTTTGTTTTTATTGTGTTGTTGGAATACTGTCTCCACATCATTTATCCCACATCTACTTTTATTCACCTTTTTTACATGTAGGTGGTTTGTGTGATTCAGACCAGGATGTCAATTGCTCTTTAACAAATGTTCCTTTGTTAACAAGGACTGATATGAATAGAAGGAGATGTGTGGTAAAAAAATGACAGGTTTCTATCCAATTTGTCAAGCTTGGAATCATCTTGAGTCCTTCAGTTTGTCTGTTCCAGATGAATAGGAATATATGCTTCCAAAAAGGGTACTAACTGTTAATTTGAAAAAAAATGTTTTATTTCAGTAGACATTCTTGATACAAAAATTAAATGAAAGCTTCAACTTTTTATTTTTCTGAATTCAACAGGAGTATTCTTTCTCAGTGGATGAAGATAGAGTCTATCCCACCCAGGTTGGTAACATTTATGCTTCAGACTTGGACAGTGGAAGTTATGCCAGTGTTCAGTACTCACTAACAGGTCAGGGAGCTGGTGATTTCTTGATGTTTACCAGTAGTAAACAAGAGGTTAGTATACAATGTAATTCTTTGTAATCATTGTAATTCTTTGTAATCAGTGTAATTCTTTGTAATCATTGTAATTCTTTGTTATCATTGTAATTCTTTGTAATCATTGTGATGCCACATGTTTAAAAAAAGAACTTTTCACAGTCAAATAAAGCTAATATTGTATAAAACAAATACAAATGTTATAGCATTTAGCTTTTTGATAACTTTCAAAAGCAGCTGCAACTTAACAAAATTGCTGCAGGTAAATACATATCAATATTGAAAGTATACTAAACTTTTTAGTCATAATAAAACCAATACAGAATTATTTTAAATAGGATTGATATCCCCATCGTTGTCAAATAAATACATACCATGACAGAATTATATAGTTTCTACTTATTCAGGAACAGTTTAAGTTACAGGTCAAATATATCAATAAGTGCATTCTATATGTAGGGCTTAGTCTTCATCAGACAAGGTACAAAACTGGACCATGAAACAATCCCAGTCTATAATCTACAAGTTGTTGCTACTGATAATTACCAAGCTGACTCTACAGCAGAGGTCAAACAGACCAACACAGCTGAGGTAAGCAATATGGAACTCATTCAGATAGAGGTTGAATATAAAACAACACAACTGAGGTAAGAGACGGGGGATTTACATACAGAAGAGGTCACTGACCAAAACAGACAAGGTAAGGGAGTGGGATTTATCATAGCAAACAAAGATTATTTTGAAATGTATTAGAGAATACATGACAGCAAAGGTCAAATACCCTCTCAGCCAAGATCATTAAGAAGAGGTTTCTGGGATTAATGATAGCAGGCCAGAGGTTGAACAGACTAAAACAGATATGATATGATACAGCATCTGAAACCAGTTAAAATTATGATGAAAATGAAGCAGTAGAGTTAATTAAAGATACATGACAGTATAATTTTCTAATGGCCTAATACCAAATAACATAGAAAATTAAAATGTTGTTATCTTTTTTGTTTTATTTCCAGTTGACAATAACTGTACGAGATGTAAATGATAACACTCCAGTTTTCAGTGGTAACTACTCGTTCTTCACAGTAGAGAGTTACGAGGTGGGACGAGTCATTGGTATGGTGACAGCTACTGATGGAGACCGTGGTCTCTTTGGAGAAATTCTATACACTTTAGAAGCAATGGATGAACCAGATGGTAATAAAGAAATTATGTTTTTCTTTTTGTAAACTTTGAGATCAAATTTCAAGAATTTCATATCGGGATTGTGTCACTATCCATTTCAAAGCATTGGGCCCAAATCATTCATTAATAGTATTTCTCTTATTGTGATATGGAATGTTTATCTTGTTTTGAACTGGCTTTTCTTTATGTTTCTATTGATATTTCATTTATTTTGGATTATAAAAGTCTTGTGAAGTTCCTAATCATTTTCACTATAAATGGTCGTCAACACTGGTCAAAATCCCAGAATTTATAGTATATATTGACATTTGATTATAATAGATTATATTTTTATGCCTTTCCTGTGTTTTTAATTTAGCAGAGGCGTATGTTAATTGTTATGGAATGATTTGGTATTTGGCCTGAAACTTTATAATGATGAGATGTACTATGAGAGCACTTTTTAAATTTGCCAGGCAGTCCCTTCCTTTTTGATTATACTTTGAATTATTATTGGAATTTTTCGTTACATATTATTCAGCTTCTGTATCAAGGAATAATTTTATAGATGGTCTTGAATTTTTATAATGATGAGTTGTACAATGTAAGTGACTTTCATACCTGATGGGCACCAGTCTTATTTTGTTCAACAATACTTTAAACCCTCTGAGCATGGAATTGTTTGTTAATCTTTAATAGGGAGTGGGGTATACTTTGCACTATAGACGACTTTCGAATTTGTGCATTTTCCTGTAAATTTCATATGTCAAAATGCTAATATTACTACGTCACAATATGAACCTATTATTCGATGACGTTGTTTACGCCGATTGACCTAGGGTCAACTGGTGTAACTCATTCTTAAAACACAACTAGAGATTGGTGTATAAAGCAAGCAACTCCTACTTTTCATTATTCACATAATGTGTTTATAAAATGCTGTACCTGACATACTCATAAAGTTGAAGAATAGCAACTGATACATTGCTTAATGCAAAATTACTTTCATAAAAAATGTAATGATTAAAAAAATATTTTTAATTTAGATTTACAGAGATTTAGTGTACATCCTGACAATGGAGCCTTCAGCAGTAAAGCATCTTTAGAAGGTTTGTCCAGGAGAAGTCCTATACATTTCAAAATAGCAGCTCAAGACCAGGGTTCACCTCCTAGAATTGGGGTCACCTATGTTGAAGTAAACATCACCAGTGGACAGTTGGATGATGGATTACCCTACTGGACTCGTCCAGCACCAGACACAATACTCCAAATACAGGAGGCACGTTTATTTATATGTTTAGATTACTATTACCTTATCAACTTTACCTGATTAAGAATTAATAAGACATGATATCTATATCTGTGGCCATATTAGCACCTGCATGCATGTCCACGGCAATTTCTTACAATATGACATATAGCCATTTAACTTGGTGTGCTGGTACATCTTTTTTTTTCTTTTTCTTTTTTTTAGTCCCCTACTAGTCCCCTACCGATGAAGTCGAAGGGGACTTTAGGTTTGCACTCCGTCTGTCTGTCTGTCTGTCTGTCTGTCTGTCTGTCTGTCTGTCTGTCCATCCGTCAGTCTGGCAAATCAGTTTTCCACACTTTTTTTCTTCATGCTTGAAGATATTGATTTGATATTTGGTGTATTGTTTTATCATGACAAGTTACAGATCAAGTTCGAATTTTGTTCCGGTCTGATGATTATGTGGAGAGTTATGGTCCTTGGACTTAAAAAATTCACTCAAATAATCAGTTTTCAACACTTTTTTTCGTCATGCATGAAGATATTGATTTGAAAATTGGTATATAGATTTATCATGACAAGTAACCCGAATAATTCAGTCCCTCCCCGTGATCGACTCTCCCACTCTCGAGGGCCTGAATTCTTTATACAATAAAAACACATCACCAATCCAGGATTTTGATTGGTGCTCTCTGTGAGAGAGAGCCAATCAGCTAATAGCTCAATGTTATCGAGATAGGTAAATACCGAGCTAATTCTGATTGATTATTTGACAATTTTTTATTGACAAGGCCTTCAGGCGTTAATGTAGCCATCGTAGAGCAGTGGAATATAACGGCTGAATTATTCAGGTTACATGACAAGTTACAGATCAAGTTCGAATTTTGTTCCGGTCTGGTGATTTTGTGCAGAGTTATGGTCCTTGGAATTACAAAATTCACTTAAATAATCAGTTTTCAACACTTTTTTTTGTCATGCTTGAAGATATTGACTTGATATTTGTTATATAGTTTACACCATGACAAGTTATAGATCAAGTTAGAAATTTGTTCCAATACAATGAATTTTTAGCCGGATGGGGACTATGTATTGCCATGCAATACTCACAGAATGCTTGTCTTATATCAAAATATCATTTATTGCACTTTTCTTTGCTGTTTTGGCAAATCACTTGACCTGCAGCAGTTGGCTCTGTGAATAAGTCACTGAATTTCCTGGTACTGAGTCTGTGAACATGTGTTGTAAGAGGATGATTGATTGATCCAAACTCTTTATTATATTAACTTATAGAGCAAAATGTTTGAACAAGATGGACCTGGTATTAACAAAGTTTTTTTAAGTTTGATTTATCTCACTAATGAAACCCTTGGAAAGCACATTCTTCAAAATTTCTTTTATATTGCTCGAAGTTCTAACAAGGGAACACAATTATCAAAGAACCTCCCCTGGATACTGTTTGTTTTTCAATGAAACAACTTGAAGTAATTTCTATTATACCGTATCACTATGAAAGGCATTTTTAGCATAATGTATATGGTTAAAACAAAATTATACATGTATGAGTTTACTTAAAGTCTGTAAATTGTAATATACTAAATATTACATGATATTATTACAGGGTCAAGACAATGGAACAGTTATTTACACATGTAAAGCTACTGCAGTCACTAATGGAGCATCCATTGATTACAGTTTTGTGTCCAGTTCTGACCCAGCCATAGCATCATTGTTCTCCATCAACAGACAAACTTGTGAAATCAAACTGGAAAAAATTCCTGATCGAGAATTCAGAGAGATCTATGATGTGAGTTTTGTAAAGGTTCAAAATCAAGAAATCCCAGAAATATTTGATATACTGGTACATGAAACTTATCAGATTTTTTTGGGTAAATCCAGCTTGCTTTCTACCTTTCCATTTGTATGAATACACCCCTGCCCACTTAAATAATGGATATTCAGTTTGACCACCATTAGTAGTATTTGGACTAAGGTAGAAGGGGATGGGTCACAGGGCTTTTTTTCAAGCTACAGGTTGTGCAAAATTGTCAGATTTTTCATAGATTATTTATGGAAAACACAATTGCGTGTGATAAAAAAAAAACTAAACAATAGAATTTTATGATAAAATATGTGATGATAGCTGTTATAATGTTTATCTTTCAAAATAAAATATAAAAAGAAAAAATAGGGTCAAGAGATCATTTTCTTGCTACAAAACAAAATAGGTAAATTTATAACACATCCAGTAGAAAAGTTACATTATCTGAGTTATTTCCCTTATATAGCAAAGTTGAAAAAATTGAATGAAACAAAAAATATTCTGTATTTGTAAAAAACAGTTGCAAAAATATGATAAAACACATAATTTTCTTCATTCAGATGAAATATATATCAAATGAATGACATTCTTCTCTCAAAATTTGCACATTTCATAAAAGATCTAGACCAATTTTTTTCTGCTATTTTACAATCTAAATGAAGGAGGACATTTGAGCATTCTTAACCGGCTGTGCAAGACCCACATGGGTAATCAAGGTCGTTAAAAAAAAAATCTCGTCATAGCTTCCTTAATATAATATTAGGGTCCAAAAAGGCCCTCTACTGCAACTACTCCTTTCTGACATCACTGAATTTTTACACATTAATTGCAGTTGGTTTAAAATAATGTTTTATTCTCTTATGACAGTTGATTATTGTGGCTGAAGATACACTGAATTCTACATTGAGAAGTTCACGTAAACTGACCATAAGATTAACTGATGTGGATGACGAGAGTCCATCCTTTAAAAATTGTCCTGATAGACAGGTAAGATAAAAAAAAAAACAGTTACAACATTATCCTGGTCTAAAATTTTCTATCTTTTATCAGAAAACCTTCAGCAGAAAATCATGTTTATTTCCTAGCATATAGCCACATATTTTTGGATCACCATTGACATATACGTGTTGTATTTAAATTTCTAAATTTTCAGTAAGCTTAGATAGTATTGAATGATATTTATTATGACCCAGCCGCTATGATTAAAAAAAGATAAAAATATGAATTATTTTCATTTCAGACAAATTTGAATACAAAAACAATATGAGTTATCTGTATTTATCATTTAAGGCTTGAATATTTAATAATTATTTCAGTATGCTGATCCCCCACCAGAACCGGCCACAGTTGTGGAACAGTCACCGCCAGGGACATTGGTGTTTACAGCTAAGGCCTGTGACAAGGACAGTAACCCACTATTCAATGCCTTTAGATACAAGTTTGATGTAAATCCACCTAACTTCACCCACTGTAAGTTTGATAGAGATTTGTAAAGGGGGCTATGTAAACCCGCCATACAATGCCTTTAGATACAAGTTTGATGTTAATCCACCTAACTTCACTCACTGTAAGTTTGATAGAGATTTGTAAAGGGGGCTATGTAAACCCGCCATACAATGCCTTCAGATACAAGTTTGATGTAAATCCATCTAACTTCACCCACTGTAAGTAAGATAGAATAGAAAAAGGGTATGGGGTATCCATCCGTGACAAAACTTCAGTACATGCACAGCAAAAAACACAAAAAGCATTTTAACAGTGCTTTTATTGCAGCAAAAACCCTCACTTCATTGCAAGTTTATATGTGAAATAACTTGACAAGAAATAGTGTATGTATAAGGCAAATAATTTGGGTAGACTTTGTAAGATGTATTGCAGTTTGGTAAATGAGGCTTTGTCAATGTATTAAAGGAGTAATCAATTCACGATGAATGTTAATTAATTTTAAGGCTTGAACAGTGCATTTTTGTCTATATTCTTGAAGGATGTGAGAAAAGACTCTCTGGCATAAAAACACATAAAAGAAAAGTTAGAAAACAACTGGTTGCACAAAATTAACCTTTCACTGTATATTTTATGATTCCCACATTCTTATATTCTTCCAACGACTGTTACTCACTGTACAGTTCCTTCATATACAAGTATGATGCAAATTCAACTTTACCTCCTGTTAAAAAGAAAACAATAAAAGCTTGGGAATGATGAGGACCTGTTTTAACCCATGTCTTTACTATGGAACAAAAGGATAACAATGTGTTAGTTTACTTTGTAATTCTTTGAATCTAAAAACTAATATATATATTTTATTATCATGATTGTTGATCAACTGAAACAAATATGAGATTAAAAATTAAGAACTCAGGAAATGCTGCAAACAAATAATGCTATCATTATTTTTTTATTTTTGCTAAACCTATTCCATCGCATTATCATTATAATAACAATATTGCATTTCTGAATTCAGAGAAGCTCAAATGTTAGATTTTGTAGTCACTGTGATGAATCCAAAGATTTCAATCCATTATTGAAATTGCTAAAATCATCAATGTTTAAGGCACTTTGTTTTAATCAGATATGAGCATGTCCATTGACCACCAATGTTTTTTTGAAGATATTGTGAAGAATCATAGGTTTAACAAATATACAACAGGTTTTAGTTACCTACTCACTTGCTCATAGTTGATTCTGTTTAAAAAGCATTTTGAATTGCTGATTTTTTGCTAGTGATCTAAACCACTGTAAGAGATTGTCAAAAAAGTTTTATTTTCTTTTAATTTTCCCCATGAAATTGAGCGTAAGGTGTTACCGGTTTAATTTTTTTGTACCTGAGTGTTTCTTATACCTGAGGTCAAATTGGACTCCAATACTACAGCTTGTCCTTGTACCACAGACCTTAGTCATAACCCAGTGCAGCCATAAAATGTTATAGTGTGGCATAGGTATTGTACCTACAGACAGGGGCAATAAAACCCTACAAGTATTGTGCCTTTAGACAGGGGCAATAAACCACCCTACAAGTATTGTGCCTTTAGACAGGGGCAATAAACCACCCTACAAGTATTGTGCCTTTAGACAGGGGCAATAAACCACTCTACAATGTCATCAGATACAAATTTACCGGTAATATAACTTCATTCTTTATGATTTACTATGTATATGATGTAAGTCCTCTGCTTTCACCTTTGATGTACATTATTCCTTAAAATCAATGCCTGAAAAGGTCATCAGTTCAACTTTTTAAATGAAAGGCGAAAGATACCAAAGGGACATTCAAACTCATAAGTAAAAAATATACTGACATTGCCATGGCTAAAGAAGAAAAAGACAAACAGACAAACAATAGTACACAAAACACAACATAGAAAACTAAAGACTGAGCAACACACAACCCACCAAAAACGGGGTGATCTCAGGTGGTCCGGTATGGTAAGCAGATCCTGCTCCACATATATGAAAGTATTGTATTTAATCATTCATCTTACTTGGAAGGAAATGTACAAAAGATTATATTTGTTGTGTAAATTTCAGGTTATCGAAATCCATCTTTGTATTTCCACGTTGATGAGTTGTCAGGTCAGGTGACCACATACAACAACACAATTGACCGTGAGAGGAATTGGCCAACTATAATTGATCATTTCATTCTCTGTATCAAAGCTGAGCCATATTACAATGGTCGTAGGAAGAGACAGATAGAGAATGTTAACTGGAACTATGTAAATACAGACCAGTATCTTTACTTGAGGGTCACAGTACTGGATATCAATGACCAGGCACCTTATTTCAACAATACAGATACCATAACAACAGGTAGGTCATATGAGAGGCATAGAGGTTATTTGCGGGTCACAAAACTGGATATCAATTACCAGGCTCCTTACTTTGCCAATACACAAAAAAAGAAAACTTATAAAACATGGCCTGAACTTAAGAAGAAAAAACTGTTTTGAAACATGGTCTGAGCTTAAAAAAATAAAACTCCTTTGAAACATGGTCTAAGCTTAAAAAAATAAAACTCCTTTGAAATATGGTCTGAGCTTAAAATAAAACTCCTTTGAAACATGGTCTGAGCTTAAAAAAGAAAACTTTTATAATAATGATAAACTTATAAAGAATATATTTTATACATGATTTTCAACACTGAGTTCCAATCTTAATTGACTACGACTGCCAGTTTACCTTCCAAAGGTCTGTGATTATCTCCTGGCACTCCAGCCTCCTCCACCAATAAAAACTAGCCACCACGATATAGCCAATAGTGCTGAAAGTAACAATCAATTATAAGTGTTTCAATCATTGAACATTGATTCAAATTTTACATTTCAGCTGTTTTAAAGTTTCCTACACAGGATGATGTAATACATTTAAAAGCTGAAGACCATGATTCTGATCTGTACAACAAAATACGTTTCACTGTCACTTCTACAATATTCCCCAGCTTGGGAAGAAATTTACCAATAGATGGAGCTTTCAGTGTTAATCCCGAGACGGGCATGATCAGAGTTGGAATGCCAGCTTATATTGCTTTCACTGATGGACATTTCTTGTTAAATGTCAAAGCAGAGGATCAGTTAGATTCTACAAAAATGAATTCTACTCAAATTAAGGTAAATTGTACCACTTTATTTGGAATTACCACAAAATATTTGAATACAAAAAAGGAGATGTGGTATGATTGTCAATGTGACAACTATCCACCATCGACCAAAGGATAATGATAGCATAGCAGCTAACCACATCGTTAATAACTTTATTGACTAACTTTCACTTTTAACTTAATTAGATTCTTATTTTACTTTCACTTTCTATTTATATCTATAACATCGTCATAACAACCTCTATTGTTACGTTACTTTCGGCGAACCACACAACTGCAAAATTTGTACTTCACTGTTTGATTTCATATGTAATATTGTCCTGAAGACGCCACGCTTGTTGGCGAAACATGTCTACCAGAATAAACTCTTACCATGCGGTAATTGATGGGTGTTGTTGTCTTTATTGTTGTTTATTTTCTGAGGTAGAAAGAAATAAAATTTCAATTTCATGTTTTTTGTTCCCACCAGCTCTACAAAATACCTTATCCCTGAAATGAAATAAGTAATACATGTTTAGCAGGGTTAGCCTTTAATTTAGTTATAATTTGATTTAATTTTGTGTTTTTAAACCTTTATAAAAATTCTTAAAAGCTGGTAAAAATTGTAGTCTCTATTAAATCACATCTTGTCTAGACTATGCAGATTTTGAACTTGAAATATTGCATAGGACATTTTTCTATTGTTGAAGATTGTATAAGTTTGGGGGATAGCAAATCTGATTGAAGAAACATAAATAAATAAAAAGTTATGGAAACAATGGATATTAACTGTTTTTTTAAGTTGTCATATTTAGAATGATATTGCATGGGTTGGCTTTTGATTGTTAAACTGACTCTTATTAAGTCTCCCAAACAAAGTTTGGGAAGACTTATTAGTTTTGCTCAGTTCTTATTATTAAGTCGCCAAAACGGAGTTTTTGGGAATTTATGTTTTTGTCCCATTTCTTCTTATTATTATTATTATTATGTCACCCGATCGACAATGTCGGGTGACATATTGCTTTTCCTCTGTTTCTTTTTCCCTATTATTATGTCACCTGATCGACAATGTCGGGTGACATATTGCTTTTCCTCTGTTTCTTTTTCCCTATTATTATGTCACCTGATCGACAATGTCGGGTGACATATTGCTTTTCCTCTGTTTCTTTTTTTCCCTATTATTATTATTATTATTATTATTATTATTTTTCTTCCACCTAATTTTGTCCGGGAGTTTTCTCAGAGCCAAAGGTACCAATTTAAATGATGGTTCACTATAACAAGGAACCTTGACTTTAGAGTTGCAGTTCAACTTTGGAACTAAAAAATGGCTGCCGTTACCATGGAAACCGAAAAAAGGTGAAAAAATAAAATTTTAGGGTTTAGTGAATTATTTGGGTATGCTTAAACTTAAAAACATCAAATTTTAATACAATGTACTTGTCCATTATATACAGGTTTTGGATGATTTTGACAATGATCGGAACTACTATGTTGCCATGGAAACTGCAGCAAAAATTTCAAAATTTCAAAATGCTTCAAACTTGATGAAACTTCACAGTAATAATGAGCAACATTTGAAGATATTGTATACGGCGTTCGAATTTCAAAAATGGCTGCCGTTACCATGGAAACAATGCAAAAAGGTCAAAATGCTCTAAAAACCCTTCTAAAAACATTTAAGTAGCATTTCCTCTCTTAATATGGTAGGTCAAACCCAGTGAAACTTTAATGGTATGTTCCCTCTCATGTACCAATGTGATACCTGTCATTAAAATTTTGAAATTGGTCACCACCCCTAAACCATATATATTCTGGTTTGTCATGCCAAGATGATTTGAATGATATACAGGGTTAGTCCCCAGGCATCACTAATGCATACAACTTTACTGGACCAAACCAATTTTCACTGGACTTTGTCCAATGTCAGGCGACCCTGGGAATTACGAATTATGGGAGCTTCGTTTGGGAGACTTCGTAACAGCATCCTGTTACAATCATTTCTTGTTAATTACAGATATTTGTTGCTAATGAAGCCAGCCAAGTAAGATTGGTAGGACGAACCAATGATCTGTCAGACCCTAGTGCTACCGCAACAAATCTTCTCAAGTATATACAATGATAGTTTACTTAACATTTGATACATAAAGCATGAAGTGTTTTTATTTGTTTAAACAATTTTTTTCAAGGTTTAAAAAATCGTTGAATATCTTTGTTTTAAATCACATTTTTCTGTTAGATTTTATACTAAATAACATGTATATTTTGCAAGAGAGTAGGAATGGCTGTAATTGTTGATTTACAAATCCCCTTTTTGCAATGAATAGCATTGAAAATTTGTTACCTTCTTTTGTCATTTCATATATTAAATTGGAAAATGTTTCATTTCTAGGTATCATTAGAATTGTGTACCTAGTGTATTAAGATACAAACCAGAAAGTTTTTTGTGAAGCGAGGATTGTTAATTTCATTTATTTAGTTTCATGAATATTGTCTTTTCTGTTAAGAGTAATGACATAACTTTTTCTATTGAAATAAAAGTATTTATATATATATTTTTTTCAGAAAATTAAGTGACAGAGGTGGTAATTCATTCCATATTCAGAGAACTAAGATCCAGTATCATACCACACTATCTGGTGAGACAGTTCATGCACAGTAAGTACTCAACAGAAAACTAAGATCCAGTATCATACCACACTGTCTGGTGAGACAGTTCATGCACAGTAAGTATTCAACAGAGAACTAAGATCCAGTATCATACCACACTATCTGGTGAGACAGTTCATGCACAGTAAGTACTCAACAGAAAACTAAGATCCAGTATCATACCACACTATCTAGTGAGACAGTTCATGCACAGTAAGTACTCAACAGAAAACTAAGATCCATTATCATACCACACTATCTGGTGAGACAGTTCATGCACAGTAAGTACTCAACAGAAAACTAAGATCCAGTATCATACCACACTATATGATGAGACAGTTCATGCACAGTAAGTACTCAACAGAGAAATAAGATCCAGTATCATACCACACTGTCTGATGAGACAGTTCATGCACAGTAAGTACTCAACAGAGAACTAAGATCCAGTATCATACCACACTATCTGGTGAGACAGTTCATGCACAGTACCACACTATCTGGTGAGACAGTTCATGCACAGTAAGTACTCAACAGAGAACTAAGGTCCAGTATCATACCACACTATCTGGTGAGACAGTTCATGCACAGTAAGTACTCAACAGAGAACTAAGATCCAGTATCATACCACACTATCTGGTGAGACAGTTCATGCACAGTAAGTACTCAACAGAGAACTAAGATCCAGTATCATACCACACTATCTGGTGAGACAGTTCATGCACAGTAAGTACTCAACAGAGAACTAAGATCCAGTATCATACCACACTATCTGGTGAGACAGTTCATGCACAGTAAGTACTCAACAGGCTGTATATAGGGCCTCATCAAATGGAATGAGATTTATAAAAATGTCTGAACATTTTGTCCTGTTTGAAGCAGATTTAGCTTCAATATCAAGTCAATAAATGTTTCAGATGGTTCAATGATTAATTTTAAGTGAATGACTAATTGAAGAATAAACAATTCATAAGAAAACCTACAAAATTGTGTTACAGTCTCTTTAGATTATTTAAATTTGTTTTCATACCTTTATGACCATAATATCTGAATGTTTCAGGACAGATATATGTTTTGTGGTAATTAAGAATGACAGAGTATTGGACTCACAGCAAGGAACAGCTGAAATATCATCATCACCATATACAGATATCTTATCTCAGTTTAAAGTGGGTGATGCAGGGGTGAGTTTAAATTAATTCATCTACCGTCCAATACACTGTACTGATTTGTTCCTGAGTCCACACATTTGTTTTGTATCTATCCATTTACATGATAAATAAAATGTGGCTTGGACGGCTAAATGACAGTTCATATGGACTGAAGATGCCATTTCACCCATAGTGCCATAAATTATTTGTTATAATATACCTAACTGCAAAATCCCGACTTTATTTATATATCTTTTCTACTTTAAAACTTTTTATTTATCAAATGACAAAAAAAAAAATGCTTCCAAGCTTAAATACGATATCCCTACTCGAGAACACATAAAGAGAAGAACGAAGATTTTAATATCATAAAAATATTTATGATTTTAAGCCATTTTACAGCAAAAAATCTTCCTCTTTTCTATTCAATTAATGATTGAAAGAGAAACACAAGCAATACAAGTTTTAAGTTATGAGACAACTATCCACCAGAGTTAAGATGAAGTGGTAGTAAGCAATTATAGGCCGCTGTACAGCCTTCAACAATGAGAAAAACCCATACTGTATTGTAGGCTATTAAAAGCCCTGACATGAAAAATATGAAACAATTCAAATGAGAAAACTTAATTATATCAAAACAATTTACAAAAAAACAAGTATGACAGACATGAACCAAAGACAACCACTGAACTACAGGCTCCTGAATTGGGACAGGCACATAAAGAATGTGGCAGGGTTAGATATGTTGATGACCCCTAACCTGGGACAGCAGTGTAACAACACAACATAAAAAAACACCTGTAAAAATCAGTTGCAATTGATTGTTTTGTCCCTTTCTTTAACATACTTTGCAGCATCATTAATCACATTTATTCATAATCTTGCCTATTACAAAGACAACTGGTTGTATGAATACAGGGAGTGTTATATTTTTATTTTTCAGCCTTGTGACCCTCCCACCAGGAAATCCCCTATGATGTTTATTGTTTGTTATGACCTTTATGTTTCTGTTTTCAGCCTTGCGACCCTCCCACCAGAAAATCAACATATGATGCCTATTTATGTTATGACCTTTATGTTTCTGTTTTCAGCCTTGTGACCCTCCCACCAGAAAATCAACATATGATGTTTATTGTTTGTTATGACCTTTATGTTTCTGTTTTCATCCCTGTGACCCTCCCACCAGGAAATCTACCTATGATGCCTATTGTATGTTATGACCGTTATGTTTCTGTTTTCAGCCTTGTGACCCTCCCACCAGGAATCTACCTATGATGCCTATTGTATGTTATGACCTTTATGTTTCTGTTTTCAGCCTTGTGACCCTCCCACCAGGAAATCTACCTATGATGCCTATTGTATGTTATGACCGTTATGTTTCTGTTTTCAGCCTTGTGACCCTCCCACCAGGATTCTACCTATGATGCCTATTGTATGTTATGACCGTTATGTTTCTGTTTTCAGCCTTGTGACCCTCCCACCAGGAATCTACCTATGATGCCTATTGTATGTTATGACCGTTATGTTTCTGTTTTCAGCCTTTTGACCCTCCCACCAGGAAATCTACCTATGATGCCTATTGTATGTTATGACCTTTATATTTCTGTTTTCATCCCTGTGACCCTCCCACCAGGAAATCTACCTATGATGCCTATTGTATGTTATGACCATTATGTTTCTGTTTTCAGCCTTGTGACCCTCCCACCAGGAAATCTACCTATGATGCCTATTGTATGTTATGACCATTATGTTTCTGTTTTCAGCCTTGTGACCCTCCTACCAGGAAATCTACCTATGATGCCTATTGTATGTTATGACCTTTATATTTCTGTTTTCAGCCCTGTGACTCTCCCACCAGGAAATCTACCTATGATGCCTATTGTATGTTATGACCTTTATATTTCTGTTTTCAGCCTTGTGACCCTCCCACCAGGAAATCTACCTATGATGCCTATTGTATGTTATGACCTTTATATTTCTGTTTTCATCCCTGTGACCCTCCCACCAGGAAATCTACCTATGATGCCTATTGTATGTTATGACCTTTATATTTCTGTTTTCAGCCTTGTGACCCTCCCACCAGGAAATCTACCTATGATGCCTATTGTATGTTATGACCATTATGTTTCTGTTTTCAGCCTTGTGACCCTCCCACCAGGAAATCTACCTATGATGCCTATTGTATGTTATGACCATTATGTTTCTGTTTTCATCCTTGTGACCCTCCCACCAGGAAATCTACCTATGATGCCTATTGTATGTTATGACCTTTATGTTTCTGTTTTCAGCCTTGTGACCCTCCCACCAGGAAATCAACATATGATGCCTATTGTATGTTATGACCTTTATGTTTCTGTTTTCAGCCTTATGACCCTCCCACCAGGAAATCTACCTATGATGCCTATTGTATGTTATGACCTTTATGTTTCTGTTTTCATCCTTATGACCCTCCCACCAGGAAATCTACCTATGATGCCTATTGTATGTTATGACCATTATGTTTCTGTTTTCAGCCTTGTGACCCTCCCACCAGGAAATCTACCTATGATGCCTATTGTATGTTATGACCTTTATGTTTCTGTTTTCAGCCTTGTGACCCTCCCACCAGGAAATCTACCTATGATGCCTATTGTATGTTATAACCTTTATGTTTCTGTTTTCAGCCTTGTGACCCTCCCACCAGGAAATCAACATATGATGCCTATTGTATGTTATAACCTTTATATTTCTGTTTTCAGCCTTGTGACCCTCCCACCAGAAAATCAACATATGATGCCTATTTATGTTATGACCTTTATGTTTCTGTTTTCAGCCTTGTGACCCTCCCACCAGAAAATCAACATATGATGCCTATTTATGTTATGACCTTTATGTTTCTGTTTTCAGCCTTGTGACCCTCCCACCAGGAAATCAACATATGATGCCTATTGGTGGATATTGGTAGCCTTTGCTATTTGTATGTTTATAATTGTCCTGGTTCTAATTGTGTTAGTGGCGGTTTTCTATAGAAAGTAAGTATAAAAACTTAACTGGTCAAGTCACATAATAATTTACAAAGATGATATATTAGAATGTGTGTTGAGTAGACAGACACACAGGCAATTAACTGTACTCCAATACAAGTGCTAATGTGGCTTTCTATGCATTATATGACATCTTATTAATTTTGCACAATGTTTTTTGATTTGATAGTGATATGTGCATGCTAACAAGAATGATAGGAAGAATAGTTCTATATAGCTATTGACCAGCCATATATAAAAAAAACACTAGTAAGGGTTCATTAAGGGTATTAAATTTCAATAAGATATCTTTAATCAGTAACATTGCAGGAATCTTTACTTGAATATTTTTTCTTGTTTATGCAGAAAATCAAATTCAAGACAATCAGATACACGTTATCTTTCAATTGTGAATATAACAGAGGTTTTGATAAAAGTTAATAATTTGTTTTCAAAACAATGATTTAGTTTGATAAAATGTTTCAAGATTTAGCAAGGAAGATGGGAATATCACTGTTTTCTTGATATACCACTATACTGTTTTAATTCTTTTTTTTTTTTTTATTAATATCCAGTTTAATTATCTCCCCTTGGACACATTTTTGGCATGCATTAATTTTTAGGTTTTAAAAGATAGTTTGAATAAGTTTTAGCATATAGATTTGTTTATTTACAGTTACAGACAGTACATGGATACGAGAAAACAATGTAAGTATTAAAATATATTTGTGCTGTCATCAAATTCAATTCCTTAGAATCATATACAGTCGAACCTGCCTTAAAGGTCACCTCTATTAAGTGAAAACCTGTCTTGTCAGGCCACCATCTTCTTGTCCTGCTGTAGATACACTTATGCATTTTGAACCCCAATTCAAAGGTCCCCTCTCTTATAAGGTCAGTTTTCTCTGGTCCAAAGGGTGACCTTTAAATACAGGATTTACTGTACACTTAAAATATATATTGATTATCTTCCATGATAGTTAGAAAGTAGATAATTGTTTGTTAATAGAGTCTCACATTAAGTAAAAATCTGGCTAAATAATATAAAGAAATGGTAGGATACTAATTGATCAACCGATGGAATTTTTCTATAATAAGATATAGTTTTAGTAAATGACACACAATTCAATATAGTCGATATAAAATTTCAAAACTTATTTTTTTCCAAAATCATGTTTGTTTAAGTAAGAAAAAATGTATGTTAAGAAAGGTAAAGGTGTATCATGATTTTGAACTTGCTTTCTTTAATATAATTGTTGAAACCTTTAGAAATGGAAAATTCAGACCATGAACAAGTAGTTTCATATGAGGGTGAAATAAGAAAAGAACTAGTCTTTTACATTATTAATCCAAAGGCTATTTGCACATGCTGTTAGTTAGGTAAAATATATATTTCTTGAAAAAACAACTCTTCAATGTGCAACCATATCTCATTATTTTCAGATTTAATACAAGATTGATAAATGAGAGAAGATTGTCTCAGGAATACTTGTCTATTTTATTGTGTAATTGAGTGCTACTTATTTGTGATACAGAACTCATTTTAAACAACAAGGATTACTTCATTGAAAACAGTGCCATTAACACAACAGAAAGTAGGAGGTAGTTAAACAGCATTTTCATTTGAACAAAGACCGTGAAGTGTCAGGGATCTTGTTTAAAACAACTCATGCAATATCGATTTTGTGATTAATGCTATGTATTATGAGGTACACCCATTTTAATTGGATCATTCATTAACTATAAGTTATAATGATGACATGGTAGGTGTCCTGTTTACTTTAAGGACATTATGCAAGCAACAATCAATCAATTAAATAATCTTAATATGTTGTTAGCTATAACAGTTATTTTGTTTATAAACCTGAATGGTAAAAATCTTGCCAGGTAACCTAATAACCATTCAGAACTAAGAACTAAGAAAAATAATCCATAGAAAATACTTTATTTTCAGTTAGCCATTAAGTTTGGTCTTAATTATAGATCTTGTTTGTGTGAGAGTGTAATGTCGATAAGATTTACTAGTAATCCTTTTATTGCTACGATTTTGATATTTGATATATTACTGTGATAAATTATGTACACGTATCTGTTGAATGAAACAAGAAAACTGTTACATATGTCCAAACACAAATGCTTTTGTTGGTTATCAGAATTTACTTGTTTATTGTTATACCCCCAATAGCCATAGCAAGGGTATGTATATTCACTATGTTTAGTGCATCTGTCCATTTATAAATTTGTCTTTCCTTCAATTATCAGACTACATCTCCTGGAAAACTTATGAATGTATTTCAGCCAAACTTTTACACATATCATGGTTGCATTTCTGGTGATTGATATCTTTTATTATCATTCTGGTGTTATTGAAGTCAGATCTGGTAATTCCCATGTAGTTAATTTTCTACTCCCAAACCACAAAAATTAAATATAAGCCAAAGCACCAAGTTATGTGGACAATCTTTGGAAAGACATCTAATTTGCTTTTTTTCCAGTTGTGATTTAATAGTGTATATTGTTTTTGAAAGGTTTGTCTTTCATGTTTATTGCATATCAGTGTAGTATAATAATTTGAAGTTTTATATATACTTAAGAATTTTATGTATTATATTTGTACATGTATATGGATGTACATGATTATTGTTTTACACTGTATTTATTGTATTTTGTATAGATGTTTTGAACAAACATTCCAAATAAATTATATATTTTAGTATTTTTAAGTTTTTTTTATTTAGCCTGTGATACTCTTCACGCTGCCTCATGTAATAGAATTTATTAACTATCTGAATAAAGCTATCAACCTCAGAAGTAGAAGAGTAATACTTTCCAAATTGGCTCTTCTTATAGTTTGGACCTTGAGCCAATTTGCATCATTCTCTGACTGTCTTAAAATGGTAATTTATCAGATACTTAAAGTCAAATGTTAATGATACCCTAGTCACTTTTATTACTAAAATCTGAAATAAACTATTTTTTTCTTAGGTTACCATAGCTAAACCAGGGCAGTCTCAGCTTGAAATTAAATAGGAAAAATATCTGGAGTATTTTTTTCAAAATTATTTATGCAAAATACTTTTGAAAATCTAGTTTAATTTGTCAAAATTTAAGAACATGCTGATTAAGCTGAGATAATTCTGGTTTTACCTTCTGATTTAGCTGAGATAATTCTGACTTTACTTAGATATAAGAAGATGTGGTATGAGTGCCAATGAGACAACTCTCCATCCAAGTAAAACTTTATAAAAGTAAACCATTATAGGTCAAAGTACGGTCTTCAACCCGTAGCCTTGGCTCACACCGAACAGCAAGCTATAAAGGGCCCCAAAAATTACTAGTGTAAAACCATTCAAACGGGAAAACCAACGGTCTAATCTATTATATAAAAAACGAGAAACACATATGAACCACATCAACAAACAACAACTACTGAACATCAGATTCCTGACTTAGGACAGGTGCAAACAATTGCAGCGGGTTTAAACGTTTTAATGGTACCAAACCTTCACCCTTTTTCTGAAAAAGTAGTGCAACATCACAACATAGAAAGACACACTATATAATATCAACTGAAATAGCTTTACTCAATCAAAGGACATATAAACACCAGTGAACATACACCGAACAAATAAATTTGACCTATGATACAATGTAAATACAAAATAAATAAACTAAGGGAAGAATAATAAAAGTAACATTTTATACCACTATGAAATGTTAAACAATTTAAGAAAAACAATATGCTTGAACTAAAATATCAGCCATTTGCAATTACTTTAAACACAGGTAAATGAAAATAATTTTGTTGTTAGGTATACGTACACAGTTCAAATAGAGAAAGGAAATATTTTTACAAAATAAATAATTTTGATGTTCATAGTACGAAGTGAAAATTTATAGTAATACCAAACACTTATCAAAGCTGGTATATAGACCAGATATAACCCTGAATAACATTAAATAACAAAAAAAGCATTACAATTAGTATCAACAGGTCAAATAAACAAGAAAGTACGATATGAGAGTACTTGCAGTTACTGACAGCTAGTTAAAAGCCAAAAACAATTAATAATAAAAAATCATGCATCAGAGACTAAAATCAACTAAAACACATCCCAGGGATTTAGTATTTTAACGTCATGGACAGTCAAAGAAGACATGACTTGTGCAATGCCAAAAATAAATGTATCGACAGGCAGTAGGATAATTAGGAGTTTAACCTCTTTAAAGATCAAAATGAACGTGGGTGTGTCTTTGTACATCACGTTTGAAAAGAATACAAATTTAGTTATGTTTTAATTCGCTGATGACAAAATCGATATATGTGCCAATGTAAGCTATATTCAAAGATCTAATTACAACATTGGTAAGATAATCTTTACTAATAAATCGATGAGTTTACACGGATCACATAGTGATTTCCGCGCTTTAAGTACAATATTACCGTAAAATTTAGGATGTGAAATACCGTTTTTAATCAGTTTTCTACAGGCACAGCCAAATTTACTAATCAAATCTTTGTATCTATGAAAGAATGTAGTAAAAGTTTTACGTAATTTATGGTAACGAAATCCCTGACCTAATAATTTACCAGTGATGCATTGATTACGTTTGTTAAAATCTATGACATCACTACACACACGGGCATAACGAACGAGTTGGGATATATAAACACCGTATGATGGAGCATCGCCGTCTAAAAAAGGAAAATTAACAATAGGGAATGAAAAGTCGTCTCTTTTGTTGTAAATTTTCGTATGGAGCTTTCCTTTAGAGATAGAAATGTCCAAATCTAGAAAAGGACAACTACTGCTGTTTATGTTAGATTTAGTTAAAGTAAGTTCTATTGGGTAAATTTCAGTAGTATATTTAGAGAACTCTGGATTATTTAACGAAAAAATATCATCTAGATAACGGAAGGTATTGTTGAATGTATCAACCAAATGTAACAATGACGTGTCTTTACTGAGTTTGGTCATAAACTGACATTCTGAGGACCACCTTCGGGT